TTTCTGCAGGCAATAAAAATCAGGTCCAGCGTCTGTAATTAAGCAGTTATATAAGTTATTGTTCTTGATAAACAATGAGGTTATGAATGAAGTTTTAAGGTTAATTATCAGGTGTAGTTATTGCAAAGTGTGATTATGACATTATTTCCTGTGTTACGTTACATCATATGACACATTTTCACACTTGTTTCTTTCTCTGACTTGAGCGTTGACACTTGGAGCTCTTTATGCTCTGGATCTGTCAGTGCGTCTGCGGTTTGTGTGACTCTACACTGTCGTTTAATCTTGCATGAACTCCAATCCCGCTCTATGTTTTATAGAGAGAGAGACGGATCAGTGCCAAACACCACGCGCCGAAGTGCCACTGTCAAAATAACAGATGTACAACCGAGTCTGGGCGCAAAGACTCGACTGATCACATCTGCACTGAGACAGGCTTTATGACTCCAAAATACAAATATAAACTAAGACTAAACCAGTAAATAATTAGGACTAAACCAGTAAATAACAAGGACTAAACCAAGACTAAACCAGGATTAAACCCAGAATAAACTAAAACTAAACTAGGACTAAACCAAGATTAAACCAGGACTAAACCAGGACTAAACCAAGACTAAACTAAGACTAAACCAGGTCTAAAACCAGACTAAACCAGGACTAAACCAGTAAAAAACAGGACTAAACCAGGACTAAAACCCCAGACTAAACCAGGACTAAACCCCAGACTAAACCAGTAAATAACAAGGACTAAACCAGTAAATAACAAGGACTAAACCAGTAAAGAACTAGGACTAAACCAGGTCTAAACCCAGACTAAACCAGCACTAAAAAAACAGGTCTAAATCCAGACTAAACCGGGACTAAACTAAACCATGTCTAAAACCTGGAGTAAACCAGAACTAAATTATACCAGGTTAAAACCCAGACTAAACCAGGACAAAACTAAACCAGGTCTAAACCCAGATTAAACCAGGACAAAACTAAACCAGATCTAAACCCAGACTAAACCAGGACTGAACTAAAGCAGTACTAAACCCAGACTAAACCATGAAAAAACAGGTTTAAACTTAAACCAGGACTAAAAAAACAGGTTTAAACCCAGACTAAACCAGGACTAAACTCAACCAGTTCTAAACCCAGACTAAATCAGGACAAAAAAAACCCCAGATGTTATTTTAAATATTAGCAGAGTCCTATTATTATTAAGACACAAATCGCAAAAGAAATCATAATCATGTTTGTTAGAAAAATTGCAAAATTGTACGACTGACAGCTGTATATAAATATAAACATGAATATAAATATAAATAGCGTTATATAAAATGCATTATTATTATGATCTGGACAGAGACGAGTCCTGGAGGAGAGCCGAGTCATCAGATCCACAGCGGTGTGTGAGTGTTCGAGTGTTGAGTGTTACTGTGCGCTCCCTCTGTGTGATGTGATTGTGGGACTGGCCTGTGCGTGAAAACCAGGGTCACTCCTGAAGGCTCCCAAGAACAGTGCACGTGAAAGAGCGCATGTGTGAGAGTGCACGTGAGCTAGTGCACGTGGAGGGGCCATAAAGTGTGTCCTCTACAGAGCTGTGTCCTCAGATTAGCCCCAATGAAAAACATACACTGAAAAAAAAAAAAGGTCTAAATTAAGAGAAAAAATCGATTTGAGGAGATTTTAATAGTCTACAATCACTTACTGTGTTCAGATATTTCAAAATAAGGTTCTAATATATTTGTATTTTTACCTTTTTTAGCATTATCTGTCCAAAAAAAATCACATTTAATGATAATTTTATTTCAGTAGTTTGTTAATCTCCATGAAGACAAGCAGCTGACGCCAAAAATCCAAATTATAAGTCAGATCTGTGGAGAGGAAAATTGCATGTGTTTCAATTTATATTTTAAGAAATAAAAACAACTGTAAATGAGTAAATGCAATACAAGATGGATACGCTTAAAGCCCTACTGAGGAACATTCGAGGCAAAGTAATAAGAATATCTCCATGGAGACAAGCATGTAGCAACATTCCAGGAAAAGTGACATACAAAAATATTGAAATATCGATATATTGTATTGTTTAATGTGCTGATACAGTATCAATATCATGGGCTGTTGTATTGATATATCACCAAGAGTATTTTTTGGTATATTTTACAAAATTGTTTTGTTACAGCACTTCAGTTTTGTTGCTTGTTTAGAGGAAGAACACCTTTTATGTGACACATTTCACATTTTCACTGTTTTGATGATCAAAATAGTAGCCAGGCTAGCGCCTCCTAGTGCCTCCTCTCAGTGTCATTTCTCTCCAGCGACTAGGTCAGGAATTGGAATACACCGGCCAATCAGAGAAGAGCTGTGAAGCCATGACGTCAAACTCGTCGCGTCTGTCTGTGTCCCGACGTTATTGTTCTTCTTCCTACGGGATTTGGTGCATTACATACGTCACAACTAAACAGCAGCGATTGGTTAAATTAAAAAAGTACCCGCCTTCTGTTGAGCGAATGAATCCTAATGCTGCGAGGTCAGAAGGTTTCCACAAAGTGAAACTGGACTAATCAGGCTACAAAATGTTTGTGTTTCATATTAACTTTGCAAAAGAAGTGGTTTAACAAAGACTTTTACTATCACAGGCATCATTTAGCCTTTATTTTTTATTGAACCGTATTGAATCGATAAATCAATAAAACATAAAGGCTAAATCATGACTGTGACACTAAAAGTCTTTCTTAAACCACTTATTTTTGCAAAGTTCATATGAAACACAAACATTTTAATCCTCAAAACAGTGAAAATGTCAAATGTGTCGCATAAACAAGTTTCCTTCCACTAAACAAGAAACAAAACTGTAGCTCTGTAACAAAATTATTTAGTAAAACAAAAAACACTCTTGGTGATATATCGATACAGCAGCCCACGATATCGATACTGTATCATCACATTAAACGATACGATATATATTAGTATTTTTGCACACCCCTACATAACTCACATTTAAAGTAAACATTTAAGTCTAAAATATAATTAATTTCAACTTAAAATTATGAATTCGAAAAGATTACATCACATATTTAATTCAACTTTTGATTTTTGTTATATGAACCAATCAGATCTATAAGAACACAGAGGCAGCAAAAATCTAAATATGTCCAACTTAAATTTGTTATGTAATCTTTTTCATTCCATTATTTCAAGTCGACATTACATTTTACATTTTGCTGATTCTCCTTTTTTTTCTTTTTTACAGTGTATTGTTACCGGGACAATCCCAGTCTCATTCACAAAACATAAATCGCTGGCTACACAGAAATGAAAAACCAAATACACAAAGACACGGCCTGCGTTATAGGAACCGATCAGCATCAGCATAAGAACCCAGCGGCGGCAAATCATCCGCGCGCACATGTTCCCACTTGTTCTATTAAAACGAACGGGAGACACAGATAGAGATAAATAGGGAGCATTAGTATTAGTATTAGCGATGTGTCACAAAGATTTACGAGGCCCCTCTTCGGTGTGAATGAAGGCACTCCCACTCCGATCCCGCAGACGCTGAAGGTTAAGATGAATACACCAGGACTGAATATTTATATCGGGGAAACACAAAGAGATTCTGTTAAATTAAAGGTCTTGTATTACACAAAACGGATCCCACATGGATTTTCTGCTTCTTAAAGTAATTTATCGCCAAAAATAACGCAAAGCTGTGTGTAAAATAAATTACCAAACAACATTCATCACGTCAAATATTTATCTTGATATGGCTTTTTTTTTCCCGAACGTACTCAACCTTGAACAGAGCGCCACAAAATAAATCATCAAGTATAAAATATATCGTGATATCGTCAAAGTTCTCGCAATAATATCGTGGACCATCGCAATTTATTGAAGTCTCTTTGCTTAAATTAAGAGTTATGGTGCAGTAATAGCTAAAAAAAAAAAAAAAAAAGACAGAGGGAACTTTTGTATCAACAGTGCAAAAGTCCAGAGAGACGGATTAGCCGGAATATTTTAAAAAGTAAACAAAACCTCTGAGTCACTACTGGAAATGCTTTTATCACATTTATCAGAAAGACTCAGAATACTTTTGAATGAACTCTGGGTATTTTGGTATTAGAATCTGAAAATCTGCATTAAGGGATGTAACAATAACCGAAATATCGTGATATCGCATCACAGTATATCGAATTACAAGTCTCTTTGCTTAAATTAAGAGCTAAAAAAAAGACAGAGGGAACTACATAGACCATGATCCTTTGCTCCATTTCAGTGCAGACGACAAGAAGAAATAACAGTTTTAAGTCTTAGTTCTTTGGATTAAGTCTTGTCAAGGCATTTTAAGAGGAAAAAGTCGCATATTCACAGTTTTGTTCGCAGCCTCCACAAAATATCGCAATAAATATCGTACCGTGAGATGTATATCGTGAAAATATCGTGCAGAGAGATGTGGATATTGTTACGTCCCTAATCGTGAGCCTCCACACCATATCGAGAGCTTCCCCACGATATCGCAATAAATATCGTACCGCGAGACTTGGATATCGTTACATCCCTAATTATTACTCAATGTATATTTGAGTCGCCCTCGTAGGGAATAAAAAAGTCTCAAGTCTCAAATGTCGTATGATTGTTTCGCTTAATGCGCCTTATAATCCGGTGTGCCTTTATAGTTTCGAAAAATACTTTAGTCAGAATCAGTAATGAATGATGTAAAAGTTGTCATGTATTGTGTATGTTTTAATTAGTTATTGTTTAAATTACTCACTGAATCATGACATTTTTATTGCAGATGTGTGTACGTGATAATAATTTCTCCATTTTGATTTTAGTCCAAAACGAGGCAATCTGATCTCACTCACTCTCAACTTTTACAGACACACAAAACTTATTTACTCTTATGCCAAGTAAATGTCTCTTTTATTGTCCATTAAATGAGAATGTGATCAAATGCATATGTTGTATTCCTGCTTATCTAAACCACGTGTGTTTTTCTTGTTTTGTTCCAGAGTTTGCTGGACAGCGAGGTGCAGAAGAGAGAGGGAGAGTTGGACGACAGAGGAGGAGAGGAGCCAGAGGAGGAGGAGGAGAGGGCCAGTGGCGATGAAGGCTTCATGGGGATGACTCCGCTGCTGCAGGCCCATCACGCCATGGAGAAGATGGAGGAGTTTGTACAGAAGGTATGGAGATGATGCAGAATAATGAGAATAATAATAAAAATTTAAAAAGTAAATAATAGGGATGTAACAAAAAACAAAATATCGTGATATCGTATCGTCAAAGTTCTCACAATAATATCACGGAAGATCACAATATATCGAATTACAAGTCTCTTAGTCACAATAACCCGCACAGGTCCCCACGGGCAGCTCACGGGCTCGCAAGTGGCCCGTACAAGATTCCAAGCTCGTTGCCCGCCCGGTGAGCCCGTAGGGAGGAAATGTTCATGCACATTTTTTCCTTCGAGCGGCCTACAGGCGGCAAGCATGTATCTCACACTTACGGGGGAAGTACGGGTCAAGTACGCGTCACGCAGGTGTGTCGTACAGGTTTTTCCATTTTCTCACGCCCCGAATTCCTGCGGCCCACGCACGGGTCCCGGACGGGCCAACTGCGTCGTTCCTACGGGTTTTTGCCGACGAGATGCCGCCCAAAAGGAAGGCAAAGGGCAAGAGGACGGGGACGAGCCGTGACACTGAGGGCCCGGAGACTGCAGCAGGAGCAGGAACAGCCACAACAAATCCCCAGGCCGAGGAGGAGGCAGTCAGAGAGCGAGGCACTAGTGGGGACAGCGACAGCGGCCACAGCGCGACGGCCACAGGGAAGCGTCGTAAGAGCCGTCTTGGCATCGCCCTGGTCGAACGATGGATGAGTACGATGTGATGAAGTGCTGATGACGAGCCCAGTATTATACAGCGCGGCGATAAGAGCCACATCTCGTAAGACTGTCGCACGGGCCGCGTAACAGGCTTGTACTTGCCTCGTGCAAAGGACTAGAGTGCGTTGCGAGTGGCCCGTACGAGATTTTGACTCGTACGTGGCCCATGCGTGACACTTAAATACGGCGTACTATTGCCTCACGTCTTAATACTCGCATGCCCCACTTTGCCGAAATCTCTCCCAGGGTCCCGTACGAGTCTGACGGGACCCACAAGCCACACTTGTACCACCCTTACGAAGCACTTACAAAACTCTCTCTCCTCTACGGAATCCCACGGGCCAAGAAATGTCAACACCTGTACGGGTGAATCGACCTTGCGGGTTATTGTGACTAAGCCTTTAAAGGATGTATGGAGGATTTTTTTGTTTTTGTTTGTTTATTTCAAATTGTCAATAAAAGTTCAAAATAGCATTATAGAGACGCAGCAGCTTTGTTATTATGATGACCAAAAAAAAATAAACTGTGGGCTTGATGGAGCCAGATAAACATTAGCCCATAGATAAAGAGGCTGCCTTGTTATCTCGTTACTATCGATCTGACATTTAAAATGTAACCAATGTTTCACACAGATATTTATTATTTTATTGCCCTTAGATTTGTTTTTTTGAACAGGAAAATTGATTTTAATTGAAACTGAAGAAACACTAGGCTAAAATTATTAACATAATTATGCAACAACTAATTTAGTATTCTAGATAAATACATTTTGTTATTATATTTAAGTTAATTTGTGAATTTTACTATAGCCTGCGGAATTTTGTGGGCTTTACTATAAAATTTTAACAGAAAAGTATCAACAAAAAGTTTAGAAAAATATTGATTATCAGTATAGGCTCAAAAAACAAAACAAAAAAAAAACAACAAATGTGTAAAAATCCCTCATCCCTCGTCCAGGTAGAATCTAAAGGAGAAATCCAAATTTGCCAAAAAAAAAAAAAAAAAAAAGTTTATTTTGATCGAATATGTTTTGCAGCTCATCCAAGAAGAAGTCCAAGTCCAAAATCCATATTGGACCCTGATATATTTTGTTTATTATCACATTTATGTTCACATTTCTGCTTTTAATTGCTTATACAATTGAAAAGGAGTCAAAAGAAATCAACAGTTTTAGTCTTATTGCTGTATAATATTAAAAACCAGCTGTAGGTGAAACTGTAGTTCATGAAGTGGTTTTTAAACGGCCAATAGTCTAAAATCAAAACTGTTCTCCAAATTAAATTCTGTTGCTTGAAATCCGTTCAAACAGAGCTGCTCAAACATCAGACACTCTCCCGTTTACAGAGTTTAACCTGACCACACTCACACACATCACTGCTCTGGGCTATTTACGGTCTCCTAATAATATTCTGATGTAGGAGGGAGCCACAGACAGAGCGACCAGGCTCCACATGCACGGTCTGTACACGGAAAAAGCACCGGAAAATACCCACGATGCTTTGCTGCTGCGGGTGGGATGAGGACCTTATAGAAACAACATGATAATGTCTAGGAGATCAGGACTGGGGACAAAATTAGCTGTGTTTTTTTTTTACATGTACAATACATTTTCTCTGATATTCATTTGAAATTTAATTGAAAATTGGTTTAGACCTGGTTTAGACCTGGTTTAGAGCTAAACTTCTCTGTTGTTTTCCCCTTGTTGACCACCAGGTGTGGGAGGGGCGCTGGCGAGTCATCCCCCACGACGTGCTCCCCGATTGGCTGAAGGACAACGACTTCCTGGTCCACGGACACAGACCGCCCATGCCGTCGTTTCGCGCCTGTTTCAAGAGCATCTTCAGAATCCACACGGAGACGGGCAACATCTGGACACATCTGTTAGGTAAGACGTAATGTCTGCGTCGTTTCGACGCATAGTTAGAACATTTCAGAGGTGCATGTTGGTCGACGCAGACTGCTCTGCGTAGAGGATTCATGCTGACACAGACTCTCTGCGTTGTTACGCAGACGATTTGACACTGGACTGTAAATTAGCCTTAACGCTCCACTGTGTAACTTTTGTGGTGAAGCGTCCGTCACCTGCTTGTCTCAAAGTGGAATTAAACTTCGCCATAATGTAACATTAAACACATCTATTTCCATGGAAATTATAAGTCAGATCTGTGATGTGGTGACCTCACTAATTCTAAGATTTCATTATTTTCAAGGTGTTTTTGAGAAATAAAAAGCATATGTGACTCACCCTCTGCCTGAAAAGTTACATAGAAGTTACATTTAAGTTCAAACATTTTCATTCAGAGGTTAAATCTTCAGTCATTGCTTCATTTTGCTTAAATTTTGACGATAAATCCTGACAGATAATCATAGTTTTAGTCTTGTACTGTTAGACAATGTCAGTTATTCAGGTTTTTACTTCTTACATAAAATCTTACAAAACCTGTTCTGAGTGATCACATCCTCTCTCGTAAGCGCTCGCTGAAAGGCTCTCTGTTTCTATTAAAGCGTTCTGTTTTTTTCACGGTTCTATTTTTTGAGTCGAGTCGTGTTCGGAGACAAAAGGAGCTGTTGTTTCTCTGATGATGTTTGGCGTTTCTCAGAGATTGTGTAATTCGCGGAGCAAAGGTCTCGCCGTTCAGTCCTGCTCAGGGACGCTCAGGTCTGTGCTGCCCTCTGGTGGTGGTTCGTCGCAGGAGCAGGAGCCACAGCCACACAAAATAAAATGAAAAAACTAAACTATGTTTGTCCTTCATAATGTTTTTATTTATTATTCATTAACTTTATTAAACATGTGGCTGAAGTTTTAGTTCAGGTGGTTTCAAATCTGGTTTTAAAAATCTTCAGTCTTTCCTATTCAGTCGTTTATGAAAGATGAATTGTGTGTTTTCTGGAGGAGGGTCTCTCTCTCTCTCTCTCTCTCTCTCTCTCTCTCTCTCTCTCTCTCTCTCTCTCTCTCTCTCTCTCTCTCTCTCTCTCCCTATGATCTGATCTTTTTAGCTAACTCTTTCTCTCTCCCTCTTTCTTTCTCTCTTTCTTTCTTTCTCTCTCTCTCTACATATCTGATATGATCTCTCTCTCTGTTTCTCAAGCTAACTCTCTCTCTCTTTCTTTCTCTCTCTCTCTCTCTCCCTATCTACAGTACGATCTCTCTCGCTATCTAACTCTCTCTCTTTCTCTCTAGCTAACTCTCTTTCCTCTCTATCTGTCTACTGTATCAAACTCTCTCTCCATCGCTCTCTCTATGTATGATACAATCTCTCTTCATCTCTTTAGCTAACTCTCTTCTTCTTCTCTCTCTCTCTCTCTCTCAATTTTAACTCTCACCTTCTCTCTCTCTCAATCTCTGTCTCGCCTTCTCTCTCTCTCTCTCTCTCTCTATCTTAACTCTCTCCTTCTCTCTCTCTCTCTAACTCTCTCTCTCTCCTTTTCTTTCTCTCTATCTTAACTCTCCTTCTCTGTCTTTCTCTTTCTCTCTCTTTCTCTCTCTCAATCTAACTCTTCTCTCGCTCTCTCTGTCTATCCAATGCTCTCTCTCTTTCTCTCTCTCGCTCTTTTTGTATTGATAACATGTTTGTCTCTCTACTCATGTTGCTTGTTCTTCCTGTGTCTAGGCCTCATGTCTCTCTCTCTCTCTCACTTTATATATAGGTTTAACATGTCTCTTTCGCTCTCTCTCTCTCTGTTACCACAAGTTGCTTGTTCTTCCTGTGCCTGGGCCTCATGTCTCTCTCTTTGTCTCTCTGCAGGTTGCTTGTTCTTCCTGTGTCTGACCCTCATGTCTCTCTCTTTGTCTCTCTGCAGGTTGCTTGTTCTTCCTGTGTCTGACCCTCATGTCTCTCTCTTTGTCTCTCTGCAGGTTGCTTGTTCTTCCTGTGCCTGGGCCTCATGTACATGTTCAGACCGAACATCACGTTCGTGGCTCCGGTTCAGGAGAAGGTCGTGATCGGGATGTTCTTTTTGGGGGCGATCCTCTGCCTGTCGTTCTCGTGGCTCTTCCACACCGTCTACTGCCACTCGGAGGGCGTGTCCAAAGTCTTCTCCAAGTCAGTATCACTTTATTACTATTACTCAACTTTTACTTTTAAAGGGATAGTTCGGATTTTTTGACATGAGTCTGTCTGTCACCCCCGTGAGCAGTGTCGTGCATCTACACTGACTTACCCCCGAAAGCGTCCGGTGAGCCCAGATACTGGCCGTTTTCGGTGCTGACGAAAGTAATCTGTGGACAGTAAAATAAAACGTTTTTCTTCCCAAAACAATATGTGTTCAAAAAAGTGATATGTTTGCATCACAAAACCATCGTCGAATAAAAAGTCAGACCTCATCATCGCTTGGCACTATTTTCTCTCTGTTCGTACCACTGCGCACTCAACTTGGACTTGCCTGTATTTTGACTTGGGACTTGAATCGGACTTGAGGTCAAAGACTTGAGACTTGCAAAACAAAGACTTGGTCCCAACTCTGCTTAAAAGTGAAATTGAGCAAAGGATCATGGTCTATGTAGTTCCCTCTGTCTTTTTTTTTAGCTCTTGCTGCACCATAACTCTTAATTTAAGCAAAGACACTTGTAATTCGATATATGTAGTGATGGTCGACACTATATGTTTTTCTCCACTATGATGTATTAAAGTCCTTTTCTTCTCTCTCTTCTCCTCGTACAGGTTGGACTACAGTGGGATTGCGTTCCTGATCATGGGCTCTTTCGTGCCCTGGTTGTATTATTCGTTCTGGTGCTCTCCTCAGCCCTGCGTCATTTACCTCCTCGTCATCGTCGTCCTGGGACTGGCGGCCATCGTCGTCTCTCAGTGTGACTTCTTCGCCACGCCGCAGTACAGAGGCGTCCGAGCAGGTACGGCAAAAAAAAAAAAAAAAGTGAAGATTCAGAGTTTATAAATTTAAAAAGTTTATGGTTGGTTCAGTTCAGGAGATTTCAGGAAAAAATAGACTTAAAATACCTGACTGGGAGCAGGCTTGCCTCTTCACAGACCTGGCTTGTAATTTATCCTGATGGACAGCGCTACACCTGCTTGTCGCCATGGAGATGTTCTTGCTTTTCATGGAATGTTCAGTTCAACAAAATGACCTAAAACTGATCTGTCTCCACAGACAAGACTCGAAAGTTTGGCTTATATTTTTGTTATGTTTTGCGGTGCTGCTTTAAATTGTTTTTTAAAAAGTCCCCAATTATTCAGTCTCCAATTAAGAGACACTTTTATGTTTTACACAGGAATTTATTTTTTTTTCCCACAAAACATCAGTGTTACAATTGAGAAAAACTAAAAATACACTGTGTGTATAAACCACCAACATTTTGCAGTGATCCACCAAAAACAAAGTTCAAATTCATTCCTCTTTAACTTTTTTTTTCCAGTGTCTTGAATAATAATAATAATTAAAAACAACAGAGGAATATGTATAATTTAGCTTTAAAAAAATAAAATAGAAAAAGCTTTATTATTTTGTATTTATTTGTTTATTTATTAATTTTTTTCTCTTTTCTTGTATTTCTATTTGTGGATATTATAGTTGTGATGAGCAGTGTAAAATAATAGTCTTTATGTATCTGTTGATTATTGCTTATGCAGTTTATCATTTACTGTATGATAATGCAATTTATTATTTATGGAAACATCCTAAAATAAACTTATCATCATCATGATGACCTGAATGTGTTGTTAAAAGTCTCTCTCCTCTCTCTCTTGTCTGTCAGGAGTGTTTGTGGGCCTGGGTCTGTCCGGAGTCGTCCCGACTCTCCACTTCGTGATCAGTGAAGGTTTGATCAAAGCCACCACGATCGGGCAGATGGGTTGGCTCTTCCTCATGGCCACGCTCTACATCACGGGAGCGTGTCTGTACGCCGCCCGCATCCCGGAGAGGTTCTTCCCCGGAAAATGTGATATCTGGGTACGAAACTGTCTGTCCTTTCAGATGTTTAATATCATATTGTGGAACATTCTAGCATTTGATGGACCCTCCAGTAGAAGAGTTAATTAGAAGATAATTTACAATAGTTGAGTAATCAAATGAAACATTTTGTTGAGTTTAAGCTGTGTGTCAAATATTCAACATTTTTTAGCTTCTGAAAGTGTCTTCATAGTCCATAAATGCTCTGCATGTTTGCAGACACCACATTTTCAAAAAATTAATTTTGTAAAAATAAGGCTGAACACCATCACAAATTTTGGATAATTAAAAACAGACGTCTAGTCTTTCTAAAACAGTCCATTTTATGTTGGTGGGTGCTGTCATTTTTTTGGTATAACATGGTAAAGATGGCACCAAATACATTTTTTCCATTTTAACACTATCTTGTAGAGCGTTCATCACCGAGGACCAGTTTTAAATTCCAAAGTGCACAGCGTGTTTGGGAAGGTGTATGTTTAATATCAAACCTCTGTCTTTGAAACTGCACTTTCCACAGACCTTCAACGACGCACTCAGATTTGAAGAGTAGAATTTTTTTAGCAAATTCAAGCCCCCAGAAATCAGTGATAAACCAAAAGCACATGTGTAAAAGTCTAGATTCTACAAGAACATTTGACAAATTTTAACTCTTGAAAATTTGAAGAAACCACCTTAAATAGTTTTTTAGATACAACAATCTGAAAGTGACTCAAAACAGGTCATGGGGAGAGTTAATGAAATATTTTTAATGACAAAACTATAAGGAGTTGGGAGCTAAAATTTGAGACTTTTCCTTGGAAAGTGACTGAAAAAATTCTAGGAGGTTCACACAGATCTGAGATGGTCGGCCGGGGGCATTCGGAGACTTGACGTGGCATGACCCAACCGTTCTGAACTTGTGCGTTGTTGTTTTTTTTGTTTTTTTACATCCCACTGACCGCGCTCTTCTTCTTCTTCTTGTTCGTTCCAGTTCCACTCTCATCAGCTGTTCCACATTCTGGTCGTGGCCGGAGCCTTCGTCCACTTCCACGGCGTCTCAAACCTGCAGGAGTTCCGCTACACGATCGGGGCGGGCTGCACGGCAGACGGCAACCTTTAACCTTTGGGGAAAACTACGAAAAAAAAAAAAAAAAAAACCACCAAGAAGTGCTCGAAAAATTCCGCGCACGAGCCAAGAATCGCACTAAAAACTCCCAACTTGAAGCCAGTGTGTCTTGTCTCCGCGGGGTAGTTAAAGTGTCGTGAACTCCTTCTGAGTTTTTGGGGTTAAAACAGCTACTTTTTTCCAAATCTTTTTAAAAGTTTTGGAGGGGCACAATTGTTGGAGGATTCAGTAGTTTTCTTTTTGTTTGGAAAGACATGGGGTGTTCGAATGTTATTTTTCAAACTTTAAAACGCAAAAAAAAAAAAAACACACGTGGAGTTTTGGGGTTGGTTAAGGTTCTCGACGTCGGACTAAAGACGGAAATCCGGGGGTTCGGTTCGTTCATAGTAGTCGCTTTTACGTAGAAAAAAAAGTTAATTGTAAATAAGATTTCTAAATTTTTTGGGTTATAGGTTTGTATAAAATATAAAACTACAAAAAAGATCGGAAGGTGGGAGTTAATTGTGGTTTGAGGTGCAGTTGCAAATTTTGTTGGGCTTAAAATAAAATTTAAAAAATAAAGAAGAAGAAGTGGAAATGTTGAAAACTGAAAAGAAAAATCGCACAATTCACTAAATTTTTATCGAGCAGAGACGTCAAGACTCGCTGTTTTAAGTCTCTGTGAAAGACAAAATATTTAATTAGACTAAATAATCGTTAAAATTTATTTGAAGGTCCCAAATTACGCTGTTTTCTGATCTGTTTTAATGTTTTTTCTTCGTCACAAACGGACCTGAAGTTGAGTTTTGTCGACTCTAAGTTTGTTTTTGACGAAGTAACAACATTATAACTTGACTTAAAGCTCACAAGAGTAATTTTTTTGTAATTTAGGACCTTTAAATGTTTTTCAGGTATCAAAAATTTACAAAATTTGGGCCTCTTGGGGAAAAAAAAACAAACTTTTATAATGTTTTATGCTTACAACCAAATGGAAATCTACGTCAAACAGCCATTTCTCTTACTATTCTCATTTATTTTTATAGGATTATTTCTGAATTGAAATATTAATCAGATGCAGTTATAAATTCTTTACGTTCCCCCCCCCAAAAAATTAAATACTATGCGAAATTCTCTAGGGTCCTGGGACAATTAAAGCAGATTTCTTGTCTAGACCGCAGCACTGAAAATGTTAAAAATGTCTTTATTATTTAGAGGTTCATATTTTTGGTATTATAATTTATCTATTTTTGTTTGCCGTCGTAAAAGCTTTAATTACACCTTTAATTTCTGTGTTTCTCACTTGTTTTCTGTTCCACCACGGATTCGTACAGAAACACTGAAGCGACCCGGTGTGCGTTGGCTTTGCTGGAGTGAGCAGTGGCTTGTACTTCATGATCATATATTTGGTTTTGTTTCTTTGATTTTTTTTTTGTTTTATTCGATGGATTTATTTGATATATTAATTTATTGGGGAGCGCAGGTGATGACTGATCGCATTAGACCTTTATATCTGCTGTATTGTTCTAATAAAAGGTTTTTCAAAATCACTCATGTCACATGAATTTTTTTTAAACATATAAACATATATTTACCGTGATACTGCAGATTTCTTTTTTTTTCTTTTTTTATTAATCAATTCTAGTTTTATACACATACATATGTATACACGTATATATATACATACATACATACATACATTTTCCTCCTGTTTATGGTCGTACAAACTAACAGTAGTGTTAACAAAGGGACGAAATTTTATCGTTTATAATCATGCAAAACAAACAACAGTGTAAATGAAAAGAAAATAATAAAAAAATAAAAATAAAATATAATATATATAATATATATATATATATACATACATACACATATACAAGTTTATTTGTTTTTCGTTTATGGTCTTACAAACTAATAATAATGTTAACGAAGGCATAAAAGTTTATCGTTTATAATCGTGCGAAAAAAACTACAATGAGAAATAAAAAAATAAATAAATAATATATATATATATAATATACATATATATACATAATATATATATAATATATATATATATATATACATACATACACATACATACATACACACATACACATATACATACATACACATAAAATAAAAAGTATAAGGATTATTTGTTTTTCGTTTATGGCCTTGCAAACTAATAATAATGTTAACGAAGGCGTAAAAGTTTATCATTTATGATCGTGCGAAATAAACTAATCTCATTGTAAAGTAAGGACATTTTGTTTTCGTTTATAGTCGTACAAACTAATAATAACGTTAATGAAGGTGACAAAGATTATCGTTTATGATCGTGTGAAACAAGCAACGATGAGCGTGAAAGAATGTAAGGATTATGATCATGTATTTTTTGTTTTTTTTTATACTCCCACATCACTAACCCCACCCCCCCAGGTCCTACATACACAATACAGGTTATATATAAGTAACAATCTGCGTTGTACTCTTCTTCTTCTTCTTTTTTTTTTTTTTTCTTTTCCTTTGTACCATTTGTGCCAGTGGAAGCACACCAAATTAGAAATTAGAAATTAGCCTTGACACCGTCTTGAGAAGGATGTAGAGCTATAATGATTTTAGAGATTTTGTATATTTGATTATTGAGCCCCATACAGTGTAAAACTTAGTTGGTTGGGCTCTCAAGTCATATTTAATTTTTTCAAGGTCAAGAAATGACATGAGGTCACTCAGCCATTGTGAGGCTTTTGGAGCAGTCGGTGACTTCCATTCTAATAACATTCTTCTTCTGGCTATAAGAGTTGAAAAGGACATAATATCCATCTCGTGTCTATTATATTGGTTGGGTAATATTCCAAATAAAGCCAGGTCAGCACAAGGGGTCAAGGCAATTTTCAAACCATCTGCAAGGTGTTTGCAAATAACTATCCAGAAATGTTTTAGTTGAGGACATGACCAAAACATATGTGTCATGATACTGTCTGATACTGCAGATTTCTAACATTTTATACTTCTCATGTGTTGTATTCAGGGTCGTTGACAGAAATTTGGGGACCCAGGGGCAAGAAGTCTCACATGGGCCCCGTATTTTTCAGACTATAAGTCGCTCCGGAGTATAAGTCGCACCAGCCAAAAAATGTGTAATGAAGAAGAAAAAATATAAGTCGCACTTTTTGGGGGAAATTAATTTTATAAAATCAGAGACCAGGAACCAACATTTCATCTTAAAAGTCAAGTTCTAGTAAAAACAATAGAAGAGAGAACAACAGACTGTTAACGTCACATATGAACAGTTCTTCAGATAAACTATAACATAAACAACAGAACAGAACAAGTTTAACAAACTCTCCATCTCACTCCAAATCACTAAATCCATTCAATTCTTCATCCTCGGTGTCACTTCTGAACAACTCCACGACCTCCGGAGGTAAACAGACGCCGCTTCCTCTTCTGTGTCGCTGTCGTCAGACTCAGCATCAGTTCCAGTTAGAATTATTCCGGTCTTTCTGAATCTCGACAGGATGGTTTCAGTGTCACTGAAGTCCAGACTTTGTCCATCCATCCAGTGACTTCAGGAAAGTTTCATGGTTCATCCTCCCGGTGTCACTCCAAACTTTATTTTTGCTACTCGATTATCATTTTCAGCTGCAGATTTCACTACTTTCAGTTTGTAATCTGCAAAATATGATTTTCTTTTTGGGGACATTTGTGTTCAGTTTTCTCAGTCGTCTTTATAAGTTTGTTTAAATGTTAAATTGTTCAGTGGTGCAGAAGTGATGGTGCGATCGACTGACATGATACAGACAGAACAGAGGCTCTTTCTGCAGGAGCAATAGGAGTTATAGTCAGTGTTGGGGAGTAACAGATTACATGTACCGGAGTTACATAATCAGAGTACAAATTATGAGTAACTGTATTCAGTTACAGTTACTGTTTCAATGAGTGGTAATTGGATACTTTGTTGAAATAAATGGATTACACAGCGGTATGTTCCTGTTTTCACATTTTGGGCTAAACCAGGACTAAAATTAGAACTAAAATCAGGACTAAAACAGGACTAAACCAAGTCTAAACCAGGACCAAACCAGGACTAAACAATATGACACTAACAGTAGGTGGACATAATTTAAAGCAGCAGTGATCTCATATAAATAATTTCTCTATCAATAATATTTTTAATCTGGTTAAGGAAAGACTGGACTTTTTATTTTCTTTTAGCAGATAAAACTTCTTTGTCTTTGCTTCTTTACAAAACAAAAGTTTGTTCATGGAGACTTGGGCTCAATTTAAAGAGAACAAACAAGAATTTTCAGGATGTAGTTGGTACATCCATGTAGTTTTAAAAAGCATGACAATACAAGTAATCCAAAGTATTCAGATTATGTTACTCACTTTAAGTAATTTAATGGATTACGTTATAAACTACATTTTGAGGTATGTAATCTGTAATCTGTAGTGGAATACATTTTAAAAGTCACCTTCCCAACACTGTTTATAGGAGACAAACAGGAGTAATAATAAGGAGAAATAGGAGCAGCAGATACTGACACACAAACCTAGAGCTTCTCACGGCTTCAGTGTGAATTTTTTAATATATAAGTTGCACTGGAGTATAAATAGCAGGAAACACCCAAACCATGAAAAAAAGTGTGATTTATAGTCCGAAAAATACAGTAATAGAGAAAAAGTCCAAGTCCATTCCTTAAAATGAGGAATTATTTGAAATGTGTGTTAAATTGTTGTCAGTTTCAATATTTCTCACTCCTATACGTGACATTATTTAAGTCGTCATGCTGCCCTCTGCTGGCCATGACTAACTGCTGCAGCTCAGAACCACCAGACTTCCCTCCTGGAGCTGCAGAGGCTGCACTAGCACTGACTCGTGACTGTCTGCAGGTGCTGAGGTTTAGGTAGAGACCGTTCAGATCAGAGAGACGCCTTTTAGGTTTAAACCAATTTCAGTATCAAAGCTGGCAACCCAAAGAAAAAGTCCTAAATATTGGCTTGACAAAACACAAGACATACGCAATTTTTTAATTTTTTTTCATATTTTATTTTTCTTACAAAATGTCGACACTGGACAGACAAATTCACAAAAACACAAATCTAAATATTAAGACTCTTCAAACGACAAAACAGAGTCCTGTATCTAGATTCAGTCCAACAGAAATGTCACTTTGTTCTTCTTAAAAACTTGAAAACAAACGTTCTTCCGTGAGCGCGAGAAACTAAAGCTTTACAAATAAATGCACGAACCACAAAACTCAAACAAAAAAAAACAATTCAAAGTATTTTTCAAAACGAGACAAAACATTTTAAAGCGTGAAGTCGTATACATTCGATTTCCAGCAACAGAAATAAGCACTTTGGTCTTCTCCTCCTCGTCAGAAACTCATTATGACGCTGATGTTTCAAATCGTGAAGCCGGAGGTGGATAGAGCTCTAGAGGGAACACAGCAACGGATAAACTGGAGAACGCGGCAGCCATCTTGGGACTGTATGGGCATTTTCTATGGGCATATGTCACAGAATCAGGCCCGTCAACAGAAATTTGGGAGCCCAGGGGCAAAAAGTGTCACGTGGCGCCTTCTCTAATATAAATTTACAAGAACAGGGTCTAATTCTGGGGCCCGGGACAACAGACCCCTTTGTACCCCTCCAATCAGCTCCCCTGTATGTGATGCTATGGTAAAATTCGTTCAAAAACAAGTGTGCGTGTTATAATTTTGAACGTTTTTGTTTGGTGTCTTTGAAAAATCCCAGCGGCTCACGGCGGACATGTTTGGACTGTATGCACAATTCCAAGACTGGGGATTTTTACGTCAACAGGCCGGAAATGCCGCGCTGTAGGTTTGCAGAACTTCTGGTTAGTGGTTTTCTACATCAAAACATCTGTGGAAATGTCTGGCATAATCTCCACCAGCTTCATAACGTTTATCCTTTGTGGACCTTTGAAGATTTGGTGATGGGGCAGATTTATGACCGATATTTTCCTGTAGAAAACCATGAACCTGAAGTTCTGCAAACCTAAAGTGCGGCACTTCCGGCCGTTGTGAAAAAGGTCTATGGGCCCAAGTGATTAATCTGTTCATTCATTTTTCAAAATAAAACCAAACATAAGAAAACGAAAAAACAACAATTTTCTTCATTATTTGTCTCCAAAATCAAAATGAAAAAATGGATAACGATTAGATTTTTTTAGTTTTTGATTGTGTGTTTAAATGAAGAATGGAAAAAACGGATAACGGACGTTTTCCTTTACGTGACTTAAACTGCGACGCCGGACTTTTGCACCACATACGAACTGAACCAGGTCTAAACCAGGACTAAACCGGTTTCAGTCCCAATCTGGTCCCAGTCTCAGTCCTAGTCTCAGTTCCCACAGTCTACACGGGCGCACCTCCGGGACCATCCTGACACTAAACATAGTGCTGGTTTAGACCTGTTTCAGTCCTGTTTCAGTCCTGTTTCAGTCCTGTTTTCAGTCCTGTTTTAGTCCTGTTTTAGTCCTGGTTCAGTCCTGGTTCAGTCCTGTTTTAGTCCTGGTTCAGTCCTGTTTTAGTCCTGGTTCAGTCCTGTTTTAGTCCTGTTTTAAACCTGGTTCAGTCCTGTTTTAGTCCTGGTTTAGTCCTGGTTTAAACCTGGTTCAGTCCTGTTTTAGTCCTGGTTTAAACCTGGTTCAGTCCGGCAATGCAGTTTAAACACAGAATTGAAAACTGAAAAAAAAAGAATTGTTTTCTGTTTTTTTTTCATTTTGGTTTTGAAGAAAATAGTTGTTTTTTCTTTTTCTTATTTTTGGTTTTATTTTGAAAAACAAATGAACGAATGACTGTGACTCTACGGTCAAATTCACATGTAAAAGTAAATATACACGTTATACTGGACAGACACTTTTGGTTTAGTATTGCCACCGTGTCTGAAAATCTTTCAGGACAAAATGAGTTTTAGAAAAATCGGTTTAAAATAAATAACACTTTTACTGTTACATAAATCTCACGTTTGTGGAAGAAATTATAACGGGGAACTGTGCAACTTTTTGTAATTTATATGAAAAGAACCAGTTATAATCCAGTAACATGAACAGTTCACTTTAGATTCTCCTCCACCGTCCGGCGTGATGAAGCTGATTTAACACGACACTAACCGAGCTTCCGTTTCTCAAACATGTAAACGTCACAATCCATGAAGTTCGAAAGGCGTAAAACATTTTCAACATCAGCGAAAAACAGAAAACTCTGAGGTACAAAACATCCCAAAGACAATTTCTATTTTCTAACTCTGTCCGCTTTTTTTTTTTTTTTTTTAAACATGTCAAAGTTTTAAAGTGCATATTTGAAAACACTCATTCTGCATGCACAAACTACTACAGGCTTCTGACTATTGAGTTCAAAACACGGCGTCACAAAGAGGCTAGATTATGGAATTATTTACTTTTTATGAATTCGATCGCTCTGGAACAGAAATGTGGATTGGAACTTTGCAGCAGATGACGTCAACATGAGGTGATACTAACTGGAGGCACTGTTAGGGTGACCGGATTTTCAAAGTCAAAAACTGGGACGTCCCGGTTTCAGGTGGTTGCAGTGGCGGAGTTAGAAATTTCTAGGGGCCCAGGCGAACTTGAGTTGACCCCTTTGTCCTCCACATCAACTCCCCTGTATTTTTGAAATATTTTTGTTTGGTATCTGAAATTTGTTTAAGACAAATTAGTTTTAGAAAACAGCTCAGGGCGGCCCTTTTTATTTTTGGCATATTTTTAATATTTATTGTCTGTTTTTGCCCAATGTTCTTGAGACACGCACATCTTTATTTAAATTATGGTGGACTGGAAACTTGGAAACTCTTATTTTATCACTTATTCGTTGCTATCGGTTGCCTACTAGATTTTTTATTTATTTTTTGCTAGTACAGTTACATTTCTGTTTACATTACATATGATTATGTTCAAATCTGGGTCAATCTCACTCGTCTGTTCTAACGTGAAAGGGGGGAATTCTTTGACAATTAAAACAGATTTAACAGTCAGATTCTATTTTGATGGTGTTTTCTTGTTTAAGAGTAAAACCACTCTTATTTAATGTCATATTGAGAGAAAATCAAACTTGGCCAGTTGGTGGGGGGCCCCTCCAGGTTCGGGGGCCCTATGCAACCGCCTACTGTTGCCAAATACTAGCGCCGCCTCTGGGAAACTGCGAAAGGAGTGCGTGATTAAGGAAAATTGTTATGTACTGTTATGACCATTTATGGCGAACATGTGAGTCAGTATAGTCACATTTTCGTTGTGTTTTGGTCATTTTTAAGCAGCTTTTCTGTATTTTACTTAAACAAATGATAATTTACACCTCTATTTTACTGTTGGCAGGGATCAAATTGGTCAAAAATAGGGACACCTGGTGCATTTCTTTAGGAAAAATGGGACAAATCACTGGTTTTGGATAAATCAGCTGGGACCGAAAACTGGAACGTCTGGTCACTCGAGGTCAGGGATCTCGAAGCCATATATTGCGCTGAATAAGTCAAATTTGATTGATTAAATGCCTATTTCCTTTTTAAATGTGCTAATTTTGTGCACTGTAACTGGATAACGGGTTATGTTTTACACATATCTAACCGTACCTCACCTTCGGCTCACCACGGCTCTTTTGTTTACTAAATGTCTGGCAACCGCTAAAATGATTAGCTCGCCGCCATTTTCGTTTTACAAAAAGTAGCTCACAGAAGGAAAAAGTTTGGAGACCCCTGCTCTAGGCACTGCTCTGTCAGAAGTTCTGTTACTCAAGTTTGTCTTTGTTTTAACACAATCTGACAATAAAGTACAGACAAAAACAGCGCGCTAACTTCTACTGTTAAACAAGCTAGTTAGCATTAGCCTGAACTTTTTCAGTTAGTCACTTTCACCATGTTTACGCTCACAAAAAGTGATTGTTTTAATCCATTTTGGGGGTTTTTCTTGCGTTCTTAAACAATCTAAGAACATCTCAGCCTGTGTTTGCTAATGTTTGCTTTGTGTCACCATGGTAACTGCTGAAAATTCTGCCATAGACATAGCCATAGATAGCCCACTCCCAGCTTGATGTCTCTGCAAAGTATCAATTCTATGTTCTCAAAAGTTTAAAATAACTAAACTAAAACTACTGCATGTACTGTCAAATTCATTTGATTTTACATTTTATTTTAATGTAAACAAACTGGCAAAAGGACGACGTGAAATAGTGACTTCTAACAAATTATTATATGTTTCTCATCTAAAACTTTGACCTAAATTTCAAAATGTTACGATCAACATTAAAAAAATGATAGAAAAAGACGACGTAATGCTGTAGTTCTTTTGAAATATCGGAACAGACCAGCAGGGGGCAGCGCAATTTGGACGTTTAGAACCAAATTTGGAAAAGAAAGCAAACTACTTTCTTAAAATGACAATCAAAGACTTGGTTTGGAGCTTGCTGATTGGTCAAAGCTACTAAAGTGGGCAGGGATTTGAGGAACGTTTTCGAGCTTTACAAACAAAAATACAGCACGAGTTCAATAAACACGACAAAAACAAAACACAAGGTGAATTTTTGAAGAAATTACCGTGTCTGAAAGCTAAAAATAAGCAAATTTACCATAATATAGCCTCTTTAACGCCCTTCTCGCGAGTATAAATTGCTGTTGTCAGTCGTAGAAAGAACTTGGATCGTGTTTTTTCCACACAAAAATAAAAACACAAGAATAAACGCATGACCTCGAACAGAAAAACAAACAAAACAAAAAAAAAAGCTTGTGAATTGTCAAAACATGTTTACGCTTTAATCTACAGTGAAAATGAGAGTTTAGGATTTCAACCCTTTTTGAACGTGATTTTCGTTGATTGTGAACACGAAAATAGTACCTGCACCTGATTTTAACGTATCTTTTTCCAAATAAATCCACGTTGTTTTCTAAGAATCATGAGAAACCAACTGTAAAACAAGGAAATAGAAAAGGAAACAACCACCGGAAACGATCTCGGACGGTTGTTTCTGCGTCAAAACGGTCAATCAAAACGTCATAAAGGACAAAACTGGGCGGTTCGAGAGGAAAAACTTTCCTTACTTGTGATTCAAAATCAAAAATCAGGTACAGGCTCTTTTGATATAGAGAATTACACGAAGTTATGCAAGAAAAATGGTTTAAATTGTGAGCTAAAATTGAATTATAATGTGTTTTCTTCTACATTTTTGTTGACGGATTTAAAGTTTGCACCTAAACCCAAATTGTAATAAATATATAAACACTTTTCCGAGTATTTGTGTGTCTATACATGCATCAAGAATTTGGGACTTCCGGTCATTGCGCAATGCATACTGGGAAGAATTTTCCGAAAAAGTGAGCATCAAACCGTCATGTTTGTTTTTGGGCAGGATTGATCCACAGGAAGGACAAAAAAGGAAACTTTTGACTGCCTAAGAAATCATCCCGAATTTGCAGTGAACATTTTGTATGTGGAGCGACAACAAAGTGGGATCCCGTTTGTTAAGCGAGAAGTGCAGAAGACAAACAGACTGAGCTGCACTTTCTTGTTCTTGTGGTTTTACAGCAACATCACGTCTTGGTCTCTTTGCAGTGGAAGGTGTTTCTTGGTGAACAGCTGGTGCCTTTCGCTTTGGTGTTGACTTTTTAAATTCGTAACTGAGGTTGAGTGAGGGATCGGGATGTTGCTTTGTTGTCGCTCTACATACATACAATGTTCGCTTCAAACTCGGGATGATTTCTTAAGCAGCCAAAAGTTTCCTTTTTGGTTCTTCCTGTGGATCAATCCTGCCCATCGCCTTCACCTTTCACTATTTTTCAATTCCGTTGGGAAGAGAAACAGTTTGAACAGAGGTTTGCAGTCACACACATCTGATTCCCTTTTGCATTTATGGAGTTCGCAAAACAAAATTCTCGATCTGTTTTCCGCTGTTAGGATCCAACAACCACACAATTACGATGTCCGAATCCCAAAACTAAAATATGACAATATCAGAACCAGAAACAAAAGCGATATGGCTCAAAAGACTAGAAAAGATCGACTTTTACAACAGACGGACCACACTGGGAAAACAAACACGGCAGTTTGATGCTCACTTTTTCGGAAAATCCTTCCCAGTTTGCATTGCGCAATGACCAGGAGTCCAAAATTCTTGATGCATCTATGATTATTATTGTCTATGAGAGAATAGCCATATACAGCAAACAGCAGGACTACCCTAAAGCCCCATATAGTAGTGCATTAATTATTACTAATCGCTGTTGCCGTAAATACCATTATACGAGCGCAGGATATTTTACGTTCATGTTTTTGAGGAAAATTTTCTATTGTACAGATCTACCATAAATGATTTGTACAGTAAGCAAACAGCATTTTAAACATATTTACTATGTTCGTTTTAAATAGAAAATGTGACCAACTCTTCTGAAGTGACAGCACTGTGTGGAAATATAAAAATAAAAGCTCAAAATAAAGAGATAACTTAAAGATTCACTGCGTAACTTTTCTAACAGGGGTTCTGCTATCAGTTTGTCTCCATAATGATATTAGGAATGCTCCAGAGTACGGCATTAAACTCGTCTATCTCTACGGGGAAAGTAGATGACACCACTAGATCATGTTACGGGTCAGATCTGCGCAGAGGCGACCCAGTATACAATAATAATGCGTGTTTTCCAGCAATAGAAGCAACTGTAATTGAAAGGGGAATGACATACTGCGGGATATTTCAGAAGCAGCAACAGAATCTCCACGGAGACAAACAGGCCAAACCAGAAAAGCTAAAAATAAAAAGATACCGTATTTTTCGGACCATAAGGCGCACTGAAAATCCTTAAATTTTCTCAAAAATCGACTTTACTGACTTCGAACTGATTTTATGTGAAACACGGCGCTCAAAAATCTGTCAAAATGTTTTAGTATGACTTTGGTAAACTACGAAGCCGCGTCATTTCATGGATTGTCGGAGCGTTACGGCGATCGTAGTCAGGAGCCTGGTGGAGTAAAGGAGAAGTATAGTTCTGTGAACTATTCAACGCATGCTGCCACCGCCTTCGTCACAAAAAGAACACACATATTCCACTGAGTCCTGAAGTCCTTTAGTCCAACGAGAGCGATCTGTTTTTTTTCAGCGCTTTTAGTTTATGCAAATGAGTCATGTGGTTTTAAGTTTCATTTCTGTAAAACGTAAACAAATGTGCGCAAAGCTGCATTAGACACATTATTACTCAATGTTTGGGACAGGCATTCGATAAAAAATTTTAAAGATCGATTTTCAGTTAATCATTAACGTATTTATATTAAAATTATCATTAATACTAATCTCCATAAACAAACTCAACTTTACAACATATAAACCATAAACACTCTAGAGCCACATCAGCCCGTTTGACATTATAATGTCTTTAATGCAGCTTTGACATGTTTATTTACATTTTACAGTAACAAAACTTAAAACCACATGACTCATTTGCATAAACTGTAAGCGCCGCTCTTACCTCTTAACACAGCTCTTTATTTAACAGTAATTTCACTCACTTTATTTATGTTGGTCACTTTATTAATTTTGGCTCCTGTTGTGATAAAAAGACTGAAAAGTGTCTTTTAGTCTTTTCCTTTTTTTCCTTTTTTCATAGCGTACGCTACGCACAGTAACCTACATTCAGTTTGTCGATTAAAAATGAACCTGATCAACAAAATTCTTAACGATCAATTATCGACTGAGTAGGAATGATGTATATTTGAGTCGTCCTCGTAGGAAGTAAAAAACTGAAATTCTCCACGGACATTCACATTCATAATTCACATTCACCAAGACAGGGAGGTAACGCCGGGCGAATTACACCACGATTTGCCGATGGATTGTGGACGCCTGGACTAAGGATCAGTCTCAAGTGTCGTCCGTTTGTTTCGCTTAATGCTCCTTATGATCCGGTGCACCTTAAGTATGAAAATAGACGAGAGAATTCCACATTATTGATATTGCGCCTTATAGTACGAAAAATACGGTAACTTAAAGGTTCACCGCGCAGCTTTTCTAGTGGAGTGTCTGTCATTAAATTGTCTCCATGGCGACGATGCTACTTTTTCGCTTGAATACTCTACACAGCATTAAAGTATAAAAAAAAATCAGATGACGTCGCCAGACCAAGTTACAGCTCAGGTCTGTGGAGAGGCGACCCAGCATCATAATAATAATAATAATACCTGTTTTCCAGCGATAGAAACAGCTGTAATCGAAAGGGTGATGCCATACTGCGGAACATTCCAGAAGACAAACCAGAAAAGTCACGTAGTGCGTCTTTAACTTGGATTTGCTGTCGAGACTTGACGAAAATTCACATGAACACCAGAAAACGTGTGAGACAGAAGGACCAGCGGTGGGCCAGTGATCGTCATAATACTTCATACGTGAGTTTTCATAGCATTGTCTGTGTAAAAGACCACAAAAACTATGTCTACATTGGTTTAAATGTGTTGAATTAAGAATATGAACCTTTTTTTTGGAATTGTGTTATGACTAGTTAACATTTATCTAATTATCCAAGACAGTTCAATCATATTTTGTGTCCAATTTTAAGTGTAATGTGAACAAAAACTAAATATGTGACCAATCTGATTCTCTAGGTCCATTAAATAAATTTAAACCAGTCACAACGACTCAAATCAACAAAAAATAATCTCAATTCAAGTGTTTTCAAACGAATGCAGGTCACGTGTTTTTGCAGTGAACAAATAAAATAAAACAACCTAAAATTCATATAAACCTAGAAACACTGCGAAGGTAAATAAATAGTTGTGAATTGCACAAAGTGTGAACGTAAGGGTCAAAGGTCAGTTGGGGTCAGCATCAGGTCACTGTCATGATTTGATCTTCCACAGCTGCAACACAAAACACAGACGTTAGTTAAGTTAGTAAATGCATAAAATGTGTAACTTTATCAAAACAATGGTGCGGTTTTATTTTTAAGGCGCATGTTCTCAGACTTTCGTTCTTAAAGGGACAGTCCAGAATTTTGGACACAGGACCTCATTTCCAAGTGATCCAGAGTGTTGCAGACGTGTGGAAGACTTTTTAAAATATTCCATCCAGTCCTTGTATCTGCAGAGGTCACTGGTGCTGGATAGTCTGATTCATCAGCCGGTTTTACTTTGCGGAAACAGTCTTGGATTCGTTCGCTCAACGGTAGGCGAGTACTTTTTTTCATTTAACTAATCGCTGCAATTTGGTCATGACGTATGTAATGCGCCGCTAACGGGGATAACTGGTATATTAAGCTTTTCCCAAATCCCGTAGGAAGAAGGACAATAATGTCCTTCCCCTTGATAAAATTCACCAAACATTCTCTTTGTTCCGGCTTTAAATCCTCGATCTCGGGAATCGTTGCCAACACAGAATGTATGACTCTTTGCTGATTGGCTGGTGTCCGGACTCGCACTTCCGGGGTTTTTGCAAACCGTCTTGTGCAGGCATGTCCAAACTAATGCCCGTGGGCCAAATGCGGCCCTCAGACAAATTTTTCTTGGCCCTCAGGCTTCCAGGTGAATTGGCCCAAATTACTTTACATCAATTAAAAATTAACTTTTTACTGCAAGTTTTTTTGAAAATCTACCTTGATAAAACTCATATTTAATATTTAGTGTGTGGTTTTAAGGATCTTAGAATGAGCCATCAGTCTTTATTCTTTCTAACGTGTTAAACATATTTTTATTATTCCCTGTACTGAGCACCAGTCTACGGCCCTCGATCGGCCCTCTGCTTCATCTGTGTTTAGATATGTGGCCCTTGATGAAAAAAGTTTGGACACCCCTGCACTAGGAAATGAGGTCCTATGTCCAAAATTCCATACTGTCCCTTTAAAATCTCCATTACATCAATATTGCAATCGCATTCTCCAAATTTCATAGACCGTCAAACTCTGAGAAAACAGAAGCTGCACTGAAACTAACATTTATTGTTTTGCTTCTGTTTTAAATGACCTAGAAATATATTTAAAATTTAAGTTGCATTACATTACAGTAACATTATGTAACTATGGTTCTATGACTCTCTTCCATATGTGTTGTACTGTCTCATGTCTGAGTGACTGTGAGTTTTTACCTTGAGGTTGAACCCGAGCAGGTCTGAGATGACCCCGGATACGGCCGACAGAATGACCACCTGAGTGATGTTGTAGAGCAGAGGGTTCATGGTGAGTCCGTACAGCCGGAACGGAGAGTCCAGCTCCTGAAACACACAAACACACCGATTATTTAAAGTGTATTCAGGAATTTAGACCAGGAATTTACCCATTTATCCATTTCTACATGTCTCTCTCTCTACACATCAGTCTGTGGAATTTGGATCAGACAAAATGACCAGGATTCTGACACACTTCATGGTTCAAACACGGGACAGGGAACACAGCAAGTTCTAGATCAGGGGTCATCAAATTAAGGCCCGCGGGCTGACTCCGGCCCACCACGCCCTTTTGACCGGTCCCAGTCCCTCTGCCCCCAACCACTTCGAATCCAATCCTCAAAAGTTGTCATGGCCTACTTTTTTAATTACTTTTTGGCAAATAATAACACGTTTGCAGCTTGTATTTTGTTGATTTTCTCAATTAAAAAATTATATTTATATGAAGTATTTATATTTATATTTAAATAATTATAGGATGTATTTACATTTGCAGCCAAATTTGCCACCAAGTTTTCATCACCCGACAAACCTGAATGACGACCGATTGTTTTTTTGTTCAGTATTGGACCGTGCAGTTTGTCTGATATGTAAAGAAAGTGTGGAGGTTTTCAGAGAATATAATCTGTGTCTTCAGGGTCGTACAATTCTGTTATACGACCGTGTCCCCCAGAGAAAAAAGTTTGGTGACCCCTGTTCTAGATGTACAACTCTTGTTTGCACCTTGAGCAGTTTTGTGGCCAGTTTGAGAACATTATTGACCAGAGTCAGCTCCTCCTTCTTGTTTGGTTTCTTCTCCATCTTCAGATACAGGTTTATCTGAGAAGGATAAACAAACATCATTATTCATTATGTTTAATCATCATTATTATTTGTACACAGAGTAAGAGTAAATAAAATCCCCGTGTACCTGTTCAGTGAGCAGGATGGAGGTGTTGCTGTACTTTTTGCTGGTCTCGGAGCCCAAAGTCACGAAGCGCAACAGAAACAGAGTGAGGCTGGAGCACCAGATCACCAGCTCCCAGTTATAATGACACTCCAGGAAGGTTTCATGAACGTGCAGCAGCTACAGCAGGAGACACACGTGCATTTTAACACAAAGAACACTTGATGGCGCTGTTGCAAGAGCTCATCTTTTCCAATGTGATCTACCGTATTTTCCACACTATAGGGCGCACTTAAAAGCCTTTAATTTCATCAAAAAAGGACTGTGCGCCTTATCATCCAGAGCGCCTTATATATGAATTTATTGGGGTGTCTTAGTACGACTTTAGTAAACTACAAAGCCACACCACTTGCAGCATTACGGCTCCCGTAGTCAGGAGCATCGCGGAGTAATACATACTGTGATTCCTTTTAATATCAAAATGCACCTGTCAAGAGACACGCTTACAACACGGACATTAAACTCAAGACTGTTATAAAGTGAAAGTTTGAGCTGCGTGGGAGCAGTGGATGAGAGAAGGAGAACACACATTCACCAAGACAGAGAGACAGCACCGAGCGACTTACGCCACAATCTGCCAACGGATCGTGGACGTCTGGGCTAAGGATCAGTATCAACTGTGGTCCGAGCTTTCACCAAGACCAGAATCATCACTGAACTGCCAGGGAACAGTAACCACACTGACTCGGATAATGACGAAGAGGGATGTGGATGTGCTGGACGCCGTAATCGCCCAACTGTTTGAACTATTATGAGTTATTGTGAATACACGAACAATTTAGCGTCTCAGACAGTATTTTTTTTTTTACGCGCTACAATTGAACAAAGTTGAGAGTTATTGTGAACGCGTTAAATAAAGTTTGACTGATTTATCTAACTGTTGTGTTTCGTTTAATGCGCCTTATAGTCCGGTGCGGTTTATATGTGAAAAAAGTTCGAAAATAGACAATTCAATGACAGTGCACCTTATAATCCAGAGTGCCCTATAGTGCGGAAAATACGGTAATACTGCATAAATACAAAACTGAACTGTTATTAAAGTGGGTGGTACTTGGAAAGACAAATCAATTAAAAATGCAAAAAACTTTGTGAACATTATAAGGCCACTGAATCACTGAAACAAATACAGGACTGATATTCTAACGCGCCGCAAAAACGCAGGACGCTCTAGTCGCGCGTCCCCTGCAGATCAGCGGTCCCCAACCTTTTTTGTGCCACAGACCGGTTTAATGTCAAACAATATTTTCACGGACTGGCCTTTAAGGTGCGGCAGATAAATACGACAAAATAAAATGATACAACCAACACAAAAACACATATGTTTTTTTTTGTTTTTTTTAGGGGGGGTTTATTCTTTTTTTTTTTTTTATTCTCATTGTGGTTTATTTTGCATGATCATAAACATTAAACTTTTGTGCCATTGTTATCACTATTATTAGTTTGTACAACCATAAATGAACACTAAAATTCTCACTTTTTCATTCTTATTACTGTTTACTTTGTATTTTCATAAACGATAAACTTTAGTGCTTTCTTCATCACTGTTATTAGACCATAAACGAACACAAACACACATTCTCTTTACTGTTTATTCTGTACGATCATAAACGATAAACTTAGTGCCTTCTTTATTATTATTGTTAGTTTGTACAACCATAAACGAAGATATTTCTGCATGTATGTACGGTATATATGTGTTATGCATATGTGTGTGTGTGTATATAAAAAAAAAATGTGTCAACCATTTGATTATGTAAAACAGAAGTGTCAAACTCAAATTCACAGAGGCCAAAATTAAAAACTGGGTCGTGGGCCAAACTAAATATTTACTAAAAAATTTCAACAACATCTGCATGTTTTCTCTTCTTTCGAGATATGTGATGTTAAACCTTTTCTTATTAAAATAAATGTTTAATAATAGTTTTGCTTAAACATTGAATCCAGAACAAACAGAATATAAAATAATAACAACATTTTAAATAAATAATGTCTCTACAGCCGATGAGCAGCTCTAATACATATTTGATATGATCTCGTGGGACAAATATAATTATATTGTGGGCCAAATTTGGCCCCCGAGCCTGAGTTTGACATGTCCGATGTAAAACAATTGGGGTAGGACGTTATAAGATTTTTAAACTTCATCCTACTCCCTTTGAGCACCAGGTCCCAAATACAGTATGTACATGTTTTTTGGGGTTTTTTTTTGTTAGTGTTGCTGATTTAGTTTTACCTTGTTCAAACAAATAAATAAAATAAATAAATAAATTTTGTTGCTTGTGGGTTTAATATTCGTGTTAATGTATCACGTAACCGAGACGAGCACCGAAAGTGAATCATAGACGGATGTGACAGAGAAAATTTTGTCATATTTTGGTCATTTGGAAAATAAATAAAACGGAAATAAAGTAAGTTATTTATTCATTCTGTGCGACCTGGTACCAAATGACCCATGGACCAGTACCCGCTGTTATTGATGACCCAATTTTCTCTTTTCTGGTGTGAATGTGTCATGTTTTACCTGAGCACAGCAGATGAAGACCACAGACAGAGTGAGCAGGAAGGCAGAAGACACTATCACATCTACAGAACGCTGAGGGCCCCGTCTCTGAGAACAGAACGCACAAACAAAATCAGGTTCATTCACTTCAAGAGGCACAACTCACTCTAACTCAGTGTTAACTTTTACAGAAGGGTAAATGGTCACGTCTTTATCCAGCTCTTTTCCACATCTCCTCATACAAAAGTGTAATATTCTGGACTTGACTGAGTGACGGTTGTTGTTACCTTGAGGTAGGAGCGCAGGGAGAGCCACATCTTGATGTTCTGGACCTTCTTGAGTCTGAAATGAGGCACCTCGGATTTCCGGGCTCTGCGGGCCGACGTCAGGTGACCAAACAGCTTTGCAAACAGCAGCCTCTGTAAAAACAAAGACGTGTGTGCGTAAATATTAGGTTAGGTTGCTTTATTCATACCAGTAGGTAAATTTGTTTTGCAGATTTGAGCGGTATGTCCCACATTTCACATTTCATTCATCCAGATTATGTGCAATAAACACGTATAAAAACACAATTACAAAATAAAGTGTTACAGAGCTCCAGTGCAGAATGGTTTTGTTCCATAAACAATTAGTTAAATTCATCCATCGCACTTGATTAAAAACACTATAAATATTAAATATATATAAAACAAAACACAATTTTTCCAAGACAAATGTACTAAAATTGATAGATAAATTAATTACAATTTATTCTTATACAATCTTAGTACAATAGTTCATTCTAGATCTTGGGACTAAAAGCCTCTGACCAGAGGGAAGCAGCTGAAACTCTGAGTTTAGTGGATGTTGCATGTTTTTTAAAATCCTCTGGGACGTCCTCTGTAACTGTCCTGACTACAGGGAGTTCAGGCGGCTCTGAGGATCCTGGTCCAGTCCTGTTATAGTCCTGGTCTAGTCCTGGTCTAGTCCTGGTCCAGTCCTGGTCCAGTCCTGGTCCAGTCCTGTTATAGTCCTGGTCTAGTCCTGGTCTAGTCCTGGTCCAGTCCTGGTCCAGTCCTGGTCCAGCCCTGTTATAGTCCTGGTTCAGTCCTGGTTCGGTCCTGGTTCGGTCCTGGTCTAGTCCTGGTCCAGTCCTGGTTCAGTCCTGTTATAGTCCTGGTTCGGTCCTGGTTCGGTCGTTATCCGGCCCTGGTTTAGTCCTGGTTTAGTCCTGGTTTAGTACCTGGTCTAGTCCTGGCCTAGTCTTACTTTAGTCTTCGTCTAGTCCCGGTTTAGTTCTGGTCCAGTCCTGTCGTGGTCTAGTCTAGATTGTGGCGTATATATTTATTTCTCCGCTAATGTTTGTGGCTCCTGCTCCGGTTCTCGGGTCTTTCTCTTTCTTCCAGATAATAACATCACTACGTCACTGTGGCTCTTTAGCACTCCCCTAGTGGCTCCCTGGAGCTTTTTCAAAAATGAGTGAAAATGGAAAAGGAATGATTTTTTTGGTTGTTGTTTTAACCCATTGACGCCGGATGCTGCGCAGCGCTGAGTCCCCTGTCCGGATTGTCTGGCGATCAGCGTAACTGGTAAAGGCGGAGCCACACCTGGAAGCATGGGGGGCGTGTCCTCCTCTGCTTCCATTCACTCCCATAGAGAGACGCAAAACTGCCGGAGCTGTATTGTCGCGTTAAACCTTCTTTATCGTGGCGTATTATTTCCCCATTGAAAAATAATCCAAATGTATCCCACATATTTTCCCATCAAGACCTGGCCTTTGAAGTAACAAACGTCTTTACTGCAGCGCATGAACGCGCTCAAACACTTGATTTGGTCGCTGCTCCAGACGCTCCTATAACAGGTGCCATATCACTATGTCGTGTAACAAATAAACATGGTCAAACACAAAAATGCTGACAGTGACAATGACAGTGGAGACACGGACAACATTTGTACATCCTGTTTTTTTTCAATGTAGAGAACAGGGAGAGTTTTTGTCAGTGATGCAGACCGGTTTGTGCGCTCTGAGACTGAAGGTGAACTCAGAGTGAAGCCGTGAGGTTCATTCTTTTGCAAACATTCCTGAACTAATCCCCGGTTTAACACGACGGCACAAACGCTGGTCCACTGAGACGGCAGATCAGACCGAAGCGTCGCTCACCTGTTTGTAGGTCCTCTCCGCCACGCTGAGCAGGAAGAAGAAGAGCCATATAAGGCAAACGCGCACCAGGAAGCTGAGCGTAACCATGGTGACGATGAGCGCGTCTGACCCCGAGCCGACCCCGAACGCCGCAGGACAGAAACTCTCCGCCCGACAGAGAAGTCAGCTGGTCCACCTCCCTGTACTGCACCAGTCTGAGAGAGAGAGAGAGGGAGGGCATCAGGTTTAATACTCAGGTTCATTATTCATTACTGCTTTTGGTTATAGGACAATAAACAGTCAAGTGCCTCCAGACTTCTTAATACTTCAAAACAACGTTAGATTCTGTGCAGTAGAAAAATAGAAAGATTAAATGAATCTTTTTAGGATTGTAAGTTAGGTCGACTATTATGTCTATGGATTTAAAAATGTGTTAAAAGCAGAGGACAGATTTTAATGAACGATTCTAATCCGTGTATCATTCGTTTATTCGTTTTTCAATATAAAACCAAAAATATGAAAATGAAAAAGCAACTGTTTTCTTCATTATTTGTCTCCAAAACCAAAATGAAAAAACGGATAACGGTTTGTTTTTTTCTGTTTTCAATTTTGGACAATAACGGTCGTTTCCCGTTTACGTGACTTTCGTGACTGCGATGCCGGACTTTTGCGCGGCATACGGACTGAACCAGGACTGATCCAGGTCCGGGACCAAACCGGGACCAGAGCGGGACAAGACCGGGACTGAGACCGACACCAGACTAGGACCAGACTGGGACCAGAGCGGGACCAGACTGGGACTGAGACCGAGACCAGACCAGGACAACACCGGGACCAGACCGGGACTGAGACTGAGACCAGGCCGGGACCAGACTGGAGACTCAGAGCCCATGGCAGGGCCGGAGCTTGAAGCTGGGGCTCGGGCCCCGCAGAGGCTCGGAGTAAAAGCTTGGAGTCTGCCCTGGTCCCGCCCTGGTCCCGGACCTGGATCAATCCTGGATCAGTCCATGCAGCACAAAAGTCCGGCATCGCAGTCACGAAAGTCACGTAAACAGGCTGTTATCTGTTTTTTCCATTCCTCATTTAAACACAAAATCAAAAACTGAAAAAATTAATCGTTATCCGTTTTTTCATTTTGGTTTTGGAGACAAATAACAAAGAAAACTGTTGTTTTTTTGTTTTCTTATTTTTGGTTTTATATTGAAAAACGAATGAACGAATGATACACAGATTGATTGTGATTCTTAAAAAATTGGTCCAATAATTTGCGCTGCAGTCTGAGGCTCTGGGGCAAAAGTGCCATTTACTGTACAACAAACTCCTGGGCTTTTATTTTGGAGAGGTCTGGTCTTTCTGTGGGAGTTTTTATGTTTGAACTCTTTGAAACTGAATGTACCTGAAGGCGAATGGAGTGAGGCCCAGAGTCACAGAGACCAGGTTCCCAAACACCTGGTACCCGATGCCTGGAGTGTACATGTTCACCTGCACACACACAAACACAAACACACAAACACACAAACACACAAACACAAACAAACACACAAACACACAAACACAAACACAAACACAAACAAACACACAACACACACAAACACACAAAACACAAACACAAACACAACACACAAACACACAAACACAAACACAAACACACAAACACACAACACACAAACACACAAACACAACACACAAACACAAACACAAACACAAACACACAAAACACACAAACACACAAACACAACACACACACACACACACACAACACAAACACAAAAACACAAACACACAAACACAAAACACACAAACACAAACACACAAACACACAACACAAACACACAACACACACACACACAAACACACAAACACAAACACAAACACACAAACACACAAACACAAACACACACACACACAAACACAAACACACAAACACAAACACACAAACACAAACACACAAACACATGGGGTTTTAAAAAACACTCAGAGAAATAAAAAACTACACTTCTGATCCCCCATGATCCCAGTGTGAGACTCACTTTGTTCATGATCATGCCGCTGATCTCCAGCACAGACATGTCTGCTTTCTTACATTCGTTTCCCTCCCACACGATGGCGCTCACACGCTCCAGACCGGGGTTTGAACTGTGCAGCCAGGGCACATGACCCTGCACACACACACACACACAGGGAAACAGATTATTTTAGTCATACATTTAATCACATATAAAACATTACGTTTACAGGTGTGAGTGAGACAGACCTGGTGGAAGGGGTCGTCTCTGTACTCCTTCTTGGACGGTCCACACACAGGGGTCCCGGCTCCTTCTCCCTCTGCAATAAACAACAACATTTAGATTGAAACTGACACTTCCACATCATGCTTTCTGTCTGAAAGTTTACATCATTTCACAATTGATAATAAAACCAAATACATTTGAATGTTAAAATATGGTTGAATTGTTGATATATTTTCAGATTAAGCTTCAGTCCACAGAGCAGTGCAATATTTGTCAGAAAAAAAGGCGTCACTTTGTATCTGACATAATCAATTATCAAATAATTGGCCTTTATCTTTTTTGTTAACAAAGTTCTTGACATGAAGAAGTTTGTCTTGACCTTAACAGTCACTCACTCACCTGTCTCTGAGGTGCAGGAGGAGCGACACTCTGCACAGTGCAGAAAGTCCTCCCACAGCAGGTCCTCGGTCTCAGACTCGTGTCTCTCTGAGTCCTGGGTCCTGAGGCTGGAGCAGCGAGAACTGCAGCTGGTGCCCGACTTTGGCACCTCCTGAACAAAACACCAGAGGGTTAGTCCTTATGTAAGGACACATTTATATATAACACACAGCACATTTAAAGGAAGGACAGTAAAAGCACCTCAGTGTAGTGTTTCTTATAATGGTGGGAGCTCTTTCTGTTTCGGACCGTGCACTCGCTGCTGTTCATTCTGTCCACTCCCCTCCGGAGGGCGCCGTACGTCACCTCAGGGTCCTCTTCACTGGAGGCCTCGTCTGACGCAGGCTCCTGGAAAGATTCCACAAAACAAAACATTTACAACAGGAGCGTGGATCATGTCTCCAGACAGAATTCATCCAGATGCAAAAGTGCGATCACGAAAGCTTCAGAAATGTCAGCAGAATCACTGAAGTCTATTAAAAATTTGAGTTTTAAGGTTAAAATTAGAGTTACAGATGTGAAACGCAATCATGGTGTAATAACCAGCCCAAACTAAAAAGAAGTTGAACAGTAATTTTCAAAGTTTTGGCAGAGAACACAACTAGAGCTTCACTTTAAGAGCGTCTACAGTATTCGGTGATCGGTTTTACCTTGTTGGCCGTGGGCAGCATGAGTCCGTTGCTGCGTGGCGTGTGGTGGGCGTGAGCGGGCGGGCAGTGCGGGTTCCAGCACGCCTCCTCCGCCCTCATCAGCGAGTCGCAGGGCGGCTCCGGCAGCTGAAGCCCCTCCTCGCTGCTCCGGTTGGTCACCCTGCCGTCCAACGACACGTAACCATTGTCTGTCTCTGTGGACTTGTCGATGGAGAGCTTAGACTTCTTAGATCTGAAGAGGTGAAGGAAGAAAGGAGGAAGACCGAAGAAAGAAGAAAAGAGCAGGAGAAAAACAGGTTTGTACAGAGGAGAGAGTGAAGAGAATGATACACAACGTTAAGAATCCAGTGAAGGATACAAGGCTTCAGGTTAGGGACAGATGTAAACACTGCAAAAAGAAACATCTAACGCGAATTAAAATGACTTGAATTCAGAATATTTCCTAGTTTTTTAAGATTAGATTTAACTGTCTGTCTGACCTGCAATATTTACCTTTTCATGGCATTTCTGACAAGATCCAAGAAAAGCGAAAATTCAAACTATTTCTTTCTGAGAGCTCATTCTTCGCTGTGATTGGTTAAACAGACCTGTCACTCACTCAGAAAATGAAGGAGGCTGACCAATAAGAGCAGTGGGCGGGATTTAACAAAGAAGAAGAATCCCAATGACTATCGCAATTTTTATCTAATTGATCTAGTTTCAAGTTAATTTAGCTTGAAACTAATAAAAATCATTCAGCCAATAGATTCTCTCCACACTTTTTAATGAATGTTATGGACTAATTTGGGTGCCTTGTATATTTTTTGGATCCTCTTTTTTTCTTTTTGACTATGGACCATATAATAAAGTATAATAAAGAAGTGGGCAATTATTTTTTCCATGGGGCCACATGAGAAACGAAAATATTGTGGAGGGCTGAACCAAAAGGCTTCACTCAATTTTGTGTAATATTAATTTTATTTCTTTATAAAAAGCAGTAAATATCATTGTTTTGACGAGCTGGTAAGATCGGTAAGGGTTTATGTTTTGACTAAGCGATGAAAAAGTGAGGTTGTCTTACAAAAAATGTCATTAAAAAAACAACTCTAAAATAAAAGAGATGCATTTTTAATTCATGCATGAGGTAAAATTATAAAATATGTTTATTATTGTACTGTAATTCCAAATTAGTTTAAACGGGCCAGTCTGTAGGGCTGGTATCATTGAGAAGTTGCCGATATGATACATACCTCGATACATAGGCCACGATACGATACATATCTCGATACATAGGCTGTGATACGATACATATCTCGATACATAGGCTGTGATACGATACATATCTTGATACATAGGCCACGATATGATACATATTTCGATACATAGGCCACGATACGATACATTCCTCGATACATAGGCCACGATACGATACATTCCTCGATACATAGGCCACGATACGATATATACCTCGACACATAGGCCGCGATACGATACATATCTCGATACAAAGGCCACGATACGATACATTCCTCGATACATAGGCCACGATACGATACATATCTCGATACATAGGCTGTGATACGATACATATCTCGATACATAGGCCACGATACGATACATATCTCGATACATAGGCCACGATATGATACATATCTCGATACATAGGCCACGATACGATACATATCTCGATACATAAACCACGTTACGATACATATCTCGATACAAAGGCCACGATACGATACATATCTCAATACATAGGCCACGATACGATATATACCTCGACACATAGGCCGCAATACGATACATATCTCGATACAAAGGCCATGATATGATACATTCCTCGATACATAGGCCACAATACAATACATATCTCGATACAAAGGACACGATACGATACATATCTCGATACATAGGCCATAATACGATACAGATCTTGATATAGTGCACTTTCAATTCGATACGATATATTTCAATCGATTCGATACAGTTCAATAAAATTAAAGGCTAAATCTGTGACACTAAAAGTCTTTGTTAAACCACTTCTTGTGCAAAGTTCATGTGAAACACAAACATTTTAATCATCAAAACAGTGAAAATGTCAAATGTGTCGCATGAACGAGTTTCCTTCCAGTAAACAAACAACCAAACTGTAGCTCTGTAACAAAATAATTTAATAAAATATACCAAAAAAGACTCTTGGCGTTATATATCGAAACAGCAGCCCATGGTATCGATACTGTATCATCACATTAAATGGTACGACATATCAATATTTCAATATTTTTGCACACCCCTACAGGTCGGAGTCAACCAAAAGGGCTGTATGTGGCCCGGAGCTGTACAATGTAAAGTCTGGTATAATGTTTGTGCCTGAAATAAAGAATACATTTTAAAAAATGACAATTTATTTTTAATTTCTGACCTAATTGTTAAATAAGTTGAAATAAGAATCAGTGGAATTAAAGTATCCACAAATAAATACAACAAAACAAACAAAAACGGCTCAAATTAAGATCAAAATTCTGTATTCAAGTCATGTGAACTAAAGTAGATGTCGTCTTTTTGCAGTGGGCCTATAAACACATGCATTCACAAACATGCAGCTCTCCTCCTGTCGTCCTGGTCTAGAATGCAGGTTTATATCAAATTCACTGGGTCCCCACAAGGACAAATAAATACACAATAATTCTAGCTAAATTTTGACGTTTTATTGCACAGAGTTGTGTGGGGAACCCTGAAAGGAGCGTGAAAACATATGGACGATAATAAGAGTAAAATTTAGGAGTAAAAATAGTTAAACAGTAAGTTGAAAGTTGAGTGCAGATTCCTGAAGTCTCTATCTTACCAAGTGATTGTTTGTGAGTAAGTACGGTAAGTAAGAAAGCCCCAAAAGCTTATTTTCATCTCATGAGTTTATCATTGTGTTAAAAAAATCGACATTTAAAGCTGCAGAATCACCGAGCCACACCTTTACCTGAAACCCACGAACTAGGAACGGGTTCTTTTCTCAATTATCATTATAAATTCTGACCTTAATTTAGCGTTCCAGATAAATTAACTTGTATTGATACAGCTTTTTTGCAGCGAGCTGGTTCTACATGTGTATATATGGCCGAATGTTCAGCAATTATTGGTAATAGTCTGAAACTCAAGAAAAAATACAGTATAAAAATACAAAATGCACTGTCACAAACCAATAGATGCATCACAAATTTCGGACTTCCATTTATCACGTAATGCATGCTGGGAAGGATTTTCTGAAAAAGTGAGCATCAAACCTCCATGTTTGTTTTCCCAGTGGGATGTGTCTGTTGACAAAGTCGATCTTTTCAAGTCTTTTGAACCATATCACTTTTGTTTCTGGTTCTGATATTGTCATATTTTAGTTTTGGGGTTGAGACGTCATAATTGTGTGGTTGTTGGATCCTAACAGCAGAAAACGGCTCGAGAGATTTGTTTGTGAACTCCATAAATGCAAAAGTGAATCAGATGTGTGTGACTGCAAACCTCTGTTCAAACAGTTTCTCTTCCCAACAGAAAAGAAAAATAGAAAAAGGTGAAGGCGATGGGCAGGATTGATCCACAGGAAGGACGAAAACGAAAACATTTGGCTGCCTAAGAAATCATCCCGAGTTTGCAACGAACATTTTGTATGTGGAGCGACATCAAATCAAAATCCCGATCTCTCACTCAACCTTGTTACCTTGTTGTTTTTGCCGGCATTTGTCTGTCTGTTTGTTTGTTTGTTTGTTAGCAACATAACTCAAAAAGTTATGGACCGATTTTGATGAAATTTTCAGGATTTGTTGGAAATGTGAAAAGGAAGAACTGATTTCATTTTGGGGGTGATCTGGAAGAAATCCTGGATTCTGGATCACTTTGAAATTTTAGTTAACATTGTGGTAAATGGGGCCAAACATTTTGTTTCTCAATATCTCGGTTAATTATTGACCAAACCCCATGAAATTTGACTCAGGGATGGACAATGGGATCCTCTTTCATATTCCAAAGGCTGATCCGGATCTGATCCAGAAGATTTTATCGCAATTTATATAAAAAATGGGGGTAGTCCTTGGCGGAGGTCTGCGCTCTCTGAGTGCTTTTCTAGGTTATGAATTTAAAAAGTCAACGCCAAAGCGAAAGGCACCAGCTGTTCACTAAGAAACACCTTCCGCTGCAAAGAGACCAAGACGTGATGTTGCTGTAAAACCACAAGAACAAGAAAGTGCAGCTCAGTCTGTTTGTCTTCTGCACCTCTCGATTAACAAACGGGATTTTGCTTTGTTGGCTCCACATACAAAATGTTCGCTGCAAACTCGGGATGATTTCGGCCGTTAAAGGTTTCCTTTTTGGTCCTTCCTGTGGATCAATCCTGCCCATCGCCTTCACCTTTCACTATTTTTCAATTCCGTTGGGAAGAGAAACAGTTTGAACGGAGGTTTGCAGTCACACACATCTGATTCCCTTCTGCAGTTATGAAGTTTGCAAACAAATTTCTCGAGCCGCTTTCCGGTGTCAGGACATCCAACAACCACACAATTACAATGTCCGAATCCCAAAACCAAAATATGACAATATCAGAACCAGAAACAAAAGCGATATGGTTCAAAAGACTAGAAAAGATCGACTTTGTCAATAGACGCATCCCACTGGGAAATTAAACATGGAGGTTTGATGTGCACTTTTTCGGAAAATCCTTCTAAGTGTGCTTTGTGTGATGACTGGAAGTCTGAAATTCTTGATGCCTGTATACTGCAGTAATTAGCAAAATAATAAAAAAGTGCTGTATCGTATCTCAACAAAGCTTTTTTAATTATAATTTTTGTTTGGTGATAGTTTCAGGTGTAAAAGTTTGATGGAAGAGGCGATGGTGCAGCTTTAAAGGACACAATTTCATAAAGATAAAACCAGGGATCAGTTTCTTTCTTTGTCAAATTTTTTTTAAAAGTAAGTAAAATATTAACACACATATATTTCGGTCGTTTTTAACAGTTTTGTCTTCTGAAACTGAGCCCCAGTTTTATCTTTATCCATGATTATTTGTAGAAAAGGAAACAAAAATACACACCCAGCTTTACAGATATCATGCCAGAAATCGTGGAAGAGAGAGCCCAAGCTGAAGGCAGTGCTGGGGGAGTGCGAGTGCGGCGCCCCCTCCTGTGTGTTATCGGTAGTGCTAGACCCGTCTCCTTCCCTATGCACCTCCATCTGAGAGGCCTTCCTCAACTTCCTTCAGTGTCGAGAGAATACAAGAGGAGCACACAAGCTTAGACAAACACAGAGAGGAGCACTACGGACGATTTCAAGGTGGAAGGTCCAAAACTGGATATTCTTCGTGGAGATGTTGTCGTTTTGCCTGGAATGTTCCAGTGCGTCATTAAAGGGCCTATATGTTACACAAAATGGACTCTTGTGAGCTTTTAGCCATGTTAGAACGATGTGACCTCGTCAAAAACAGACGTGGAGTTGTGTTTTGTTTCATTCACACATGTTTGAGTAACTCTTTATTATTAGTCTGTCTACATCTCCAAAGCTCAAAATGCTGTTCCACCTTATGATGTCATGAAGCAACACCTTTTGTTCAGTAGTGTTTGGCATTTCCTGACATGAAACTATCCAAATGATTCTAATGAAGGTGTATGGAGTGTAAAAACAGTGGACCATTTTGTGTATATATTTTTTTTCAATTCAAATTAAATTTTTTCCGCAACTTTAAACTATAATCCCACAAGGCACACATTTTTACATATATATAAATACGTACATGCATTTGACAGATGTACCGTATTTTCCGCACTATTAGGCGCACGTCATTAAATGGTCTATTTTTGAACTTTTTTCACAAATAAACCACACTGGACTTTAAAGGAAACACAACAGTGTGATGGGTGAGTGGTTTTGTTTGTTTGTTCGTTCACGGTGACTCTGGGCTTTGTTCAGTTGTGGCGTGTAGGGAGGTGCTGTCTGGATCGCTGGATTGTCGGCGTGTTCGCAGTGACTCAGTTGTTCAGTCGTGTCTAGAAGCGGCACATTGCACTCGCTTTTTCGGTTCGTTCCTCCGTTCCGTTCCTCGTCGGCGTATAGGGTATAGGGCGCTCTGCATTGTGGGTCATCATTTTTTGATGGGGTTGGAGGCTTAAGAGCGCTGCCTATAGTGCGGAAAATACGGTACAATGTATGTCATATGTGTTTACTGTGAAAAAAAACATGGACTCCCCAAAGAAGCTGTAGAAGCTTGTGTATATGGACTGCATCACCACAGCGTGATTAATTTAGTGACTTGACAGGTTCAGTTTTGATAAAATTACAGCCACAGACAAGACAATAAATTAATAATAATAATAATAATATTAATAGATGCAACAGGTAAAAGGAAAAATATTATAATAATTAAAATAATGAAAGAGAAGAAAAAATAAATAATATAATAAAAATGAAATAAGAAAATTTTAATAAATGAAATTAAGTAATGAGATTTGTATCCTTCCCTTTTTCTTTTTTAGATTTATTAGATTGGATTATATTTAGGTTATTTTATATTTAACTCATTAATTGGTAAATGGCCATTCACACACACATTCATACACCAGTGTACGCAGACACTAATTTAATTGTTTTTATTTATTTCTATCGAGGTTTGAAACTTAAATAAATACGGCACTGCACCTATATTATGTGTAAAGAGAAATCACCATGCAAAGAAGCAGGACTCTCATCAGCTGTACTCAATCCATCAAGCACTATAATTTTCCAATATTTTACATTTTAAATTGATTTTACCACTTAATTACCACTTTATTACCACTTAATGACATCACAAGGTGGAATAGTGTTATCTGTCTGAGAGAAAAAGATGAAATACGGAGGGTTTGTGTGTTAAACATGTGTGAATGAAACAAAACACAACTCCAGCTCTGCAACATTATAACATAGATCAGAAAATAGCGTAATATGGGCCGTTTAATGCCATAGTGTGGAACATATGAGGTTAAACGATAACATTTTCACGAGACAAACAGGTAGCAGGACCCTCCATCATGAAAGTTACACAGTGAACTTTAAAAATACCCATACAGAATCAAGTATAACTAAACCCGCGTCCAATGATTGAGGATCTCTTAAAATTAAGCTTTCAAAAGGATCAATACAGAGGTTTAGTGATTGAAATAAGAAGTGATGATAATTTGAAAAAAGAAAGAAAGCGGGACGTTATTGTCCAAATAATAGAGTCGAATTGTAAATAGTTACCGGACAAGCTGACAGGAAATGTAATAGCTCAATTTATATGCAATAGTACGGTCAAAATTATACAAATTAAAACATATGAACATGTATAATATTAAAGATAACAATAATATGTGTAAAACTATACAGTTGTAAGACAAAAAAGATAAATTCACAAAAATAATAGTAGTTTATAATAGTAGCATGTGTTCCTTTTCCCTCCCCTGCACAAAATTAATCTAAAGTTGTGATTTATTCTGAAAATCTTAAACTCCGGAGACACAGTGAAGCAAAGGAGCACAGACCAAACAGACCAAACAGCAGCCGTCTAAGTCTACAAGCTCCACGTCGTTCATCGCAGAGTTTGTTTGAGTTTAAAGTGAATCTTCTGAACAAATCTCTGCGATGAACGAGCCTCTTTAGTTTGAGCCAAAGAAGCTGAAATTCAAACCAACCAGAAAAAAAACAAAAACAGAAGTTAATTTCATCCTGTGTATTTTATAATGTTAATTTTATTTTAAATCCAGGGCTGAACAGTGAATAAGATTTGAAAATACTATTTGAAAGACCATAAATGATATTGAAAATGTTATTATTTTGGTCATTTTGGTAACTGAAATCGAAATTTCCATCACAATATTTGCCGGAATCATTTGCAAATACTATTTATATTGTTCAGCCCGTGTGCTACTCTAACTACCCTCAGTCACTTTTGCCCCCCTCCCTCCTCCTTCCCTGTCCCTCAACTTTACTCCCCCTCCATTTCTTCCTCCTCACTTGCGTCTCTTACCTTTCTCTCCCTCCTCACCTGCGCCTCTTGCCCCTCTCTCCCTTCTCACCTGCTCTTCTTGCCCCTCTCTCCCTGTCCACCTGCTCTTCTTGCCCCTCTCTCCCTCCTCACCTGCACCTCTTGCCCTCTCTCCTCCTCACCTGCCCTCTTGCCCCCTCTCTCCCTGTCCACCTGCTCTTCTTGCCCCTCTCTCCCTCCTCACCTGCGCCTCTTGCCCCTCTCTCCCTCCTCACCTGCACCTCTTGCCCTCTCTCCTCCTCACCTGCTCTTGCCCTCTCTCCCCTTTCACTGCTCTTCCCCCTCTCTCACCTGCTCTTGCCCCTCTCTCTCCCTCTCACCTGCCTCTTGCCCTCTCTCCCTGTTCACCTGCCCTCTTGCCCCTCTCTCCCTGTCCACCTGCTCTTGCCCCTCTCTCCTGCCCTCTTGCCCCTCTCCCCTGTCACACTCTGCCTCTTCTTGCCCCTCTCTCCCTCCCTGTTCACCTGCTCTTCTTGCCCCTCTCTCCCTGTTCACCTGCTCTTCTTGCCCCTCTCTCCCTCCTCACCTGCTGCTTCTTGCCCCTCTCTCCCTCCTCACCTGCTCTTCTTGCCCCTCTCTCCCTCCTCACCTGCTCTCTCTTGCCCCTCTCTCCCTCCTCACCTGCTCTTCTTGCCCCTCTCTCCCTGTTTACCTGCTCTTCTTGCCCCTCTCTCCCTCCTCACCTGCTCTCTTGCCCCTCTCTCCCTCCTCACCTGCTCTTCTTGCCCCTCTCTCCCTCCTCACCTGCTCTTCTTGCCCCTCTCTCCCTCCTCACCTGCTCTTCTTGCCCCTCTCTTCCTCCTCACTTGCGCCTCTTGTCCCTCTCTCCCTCCTCACCTGCGCCTCTTGCCCCTGCGCCTCTTGCCCCCGCTGCTGGACACCGGTTTGGGCGTCCTGGTGGAGACGATCTGGCAGTGCACGGTGCCCAGCAGGAGCATAAGCCAGATGGCCCCAAACACTTCAGTGGCTGGAATCCCATGAGGCTGTGGGGCGCTCAGGTACAGGACCGCGGCTGCAACTGCACAAAGACAAACACTAAATCAGTAATATTAAAATACAACGGAATGTAACAGGGGGCAGGGTCTGAAAGAGTAAAACCGAATTACATTTTTGTTCACATTTTTCAAGAACCCAATTCCCTAAAGGTGCACTCTGTAACTTTTTGGTTGAGGGTTCGTCATCTTCTTCTGTGGATATGTCACTGCTCAAAAACACCTAGAAAAACCTAGATCTGACCTGTAACTTGGTCTGGTTTGGTCTCCGTGAAGATAGAAAGGTTTAATACAACACAGTGAAACATTCCAGACAAAGGAATAATGTCTCCATAGAGAAAAGCATTTGACAGAACCCCCCACCAGGAAAGTTACACAATGCACCTTTAAATAAATAAGTAAAGCAGTACATGTATTACCTTGCAGCAGATATAACGACAGTAATAAGTAGAAGATTCCTCTGGACGTGACCTGGATCCACCATTTATAAAAGAAGGGGAAGAACACGACTCTCACGATGCCTTTTCTGGTCAGAGACGTCCAGGGGCTCTCGGGTTTGGCCTTCGCAAACGCTGAACCTAAAAACACAGAGAAACATGGAGTAAGAACACTGCACCTGTACACTGCACCTGTACACTGCACCTGTACACTGCACCTGTACACCTGTACACTTCACCTGTACACTGCACCTGTACACTGTACACTGCACCTGTACACTGCACCTGTACACTGCACCTGTACACTGCACCTGTACACTGCACCTGTACACTGCACCTGTACACTGCACCTGTACACTGCACCTGTACACTGCACCTGTACATTGATCGTGTTTTCAGGCTGACAGAGAACTGTGCCGGTGTTGGTTCCTGCACCTAATATCAAACCAACTCATGCCAAAAATCAGAGCATACGGGAACCAAGTAAAACTTGTTTTTTCCAAGTGAACCGTGACAACACAGTAGACGACAGCGGGTTCATCTGGGTCACATGCGGTAAAATAAACAAAAAAACATGTGTGTGGAATATGCTGGAGAAATCAAGTGACAAGAAAATCGTGCAGTGGTTTGCTGTATCTGTGTTGGCCCTGTAAGGTTCCATCTTTGTACTGGGCGTCACTGCCTCCTTCTCCACAGCAGATGTTGTAGCAGAGCTTGGCGCAGATAAATAATAATTTGTATGAGTATAAATGCTCGCTGGTGTCGATGATGTGATCCATGATTGTTATTTTCCTCGCTGTGGCAGCTGCTTTTGTGCGGCCTTGTTTTTAATTTGGTGGCAAATCCATCACCCTCTGTCGATCATGCATCATAGGTTCACTTCAATGGTATGAACTTGGGTCATTAACCGGTGAGCACTTTGGTTCGTTCTTGCTTGACCTGAGCGAATGGGCTGAGCTCGATGGTAGTGTTTAGCCTTTGGCGGCTGGGTACATCCGCTGGCTGTGCAGCCCACTGAGCAGGTGCAGTAATATTCTACTCCCACATGATCGCTCTGACCAATCAGAGCGAGAGCAGAAAGAGCCAATGCTAATGATTACAAAACTGTTTTTAAGACAACTGAAGGATTTTGAGCCGAAAAAAACTATGATTTGAAAATACGCAAAAATCTGACCTTTCTAAAGTCGGTAGGTGCCCAAAGTGAACACAAGTAAAAACATTTGGACACCTCTGACTTGGAAGGTTGAAAGTAGCTTGGGTTTATTCTTATAAATAAATAGATTCTCATGTGACTTTATGCGTTAGTCTGATGTAGAGCCTCTTACCTCGAACCAGGTCCACATCGATGAGGTCTGGCTTCACATGACCAGTCTTCTTTGGCTTGTTTCTTAAGCCCTGCAGGGGGCGACAGAGCACAGAGTCAAAACTACACACATTTACATTTACTCTAATCAGGGCAGTGGTTCACAACTGGGGGTCGGAGGCCAAAGGTAAAAAATAATATTTGTATAATCAGACCAGTTGGGAAGCACTGCTGTGAACAGAAACACATTGGAGCTACACAATATAAAGTCTAATGGTGCCTAAACGTTTCCTTGTGGAGTTACTACACTGGGCACAACTCGCCTAAACTTGAACCGGGAAGAATCTACAGGCTTCAAATCAACCAAAACCATTGAGGAAATCCAAGTCAAAATACACAACTCTTTAGTTTTATTATCATGCAACAGCACACATCACACTTTATTAAAACGTCTAAAGTAAATGAATGATTAGAAATGCCTTAAAACACATCAATCGCAAAGGCAGAAGAAAGACCCGTGTGTGTTCAAAGTACAACCTGCAGAGCCACAAAAGTCTACAAACACCAAAACTGTCCCCCCATAACCTTTTGTAGCATTCACACTTGATCGTAGAGCACTTCGGAAACATTCTCCTTTATAAATAAACTTGGACTGGACGAGCGTCTCTTGCGTTTCCCTCTTCCTCTTCACTGTGCACGTGTGAGTGACAGAGGACCGTTAAAAAAAAACAATACAAACTCTACGGAGCCAAGTGGAACAAGGAGTTCAAGTACAGCGGGTTTAAGTTCTCCAGAAGAATGAATCGCTCAAACCAAACCAGTTAAATATTGTTTCCTCATGAAAAACAGACCTGGAGTTGTGTTTCGTTTCATTCGTGTTTAACGCAAAAACCCTGCACACTTGTGATGTCATGTGGTAATACAGGAAGTGCTCTACTATGTTTTTAAACTCCATAAACCTTCACTAGAATCATTTGGATGATTTAAGCTGTGGGATTTCCTGTCTTTAAAGTAAAAGATAGCTGTTAACTTAAAAACCGCTCCATGACATCACAAGGTGAAGGTGGATTTTGAGCTTTGGAGATTTAGACTAATAATAAGTTACTCAAACATGTGTGAAGGAAACAAAACAAAACTCCAGGTCTGTTTTTGAGGAGGTAACAACATTATAACATGACTTAAAGCTCACAAGAGTCAAATTAGCGTAATATGGGACCTTTAAATTATTGTTTTTCACGTTTTAAAAAGACATTTTCTTAGCACATAAAATATACAATCCCTTAGGTTTCAAAACAAAACCTCCCACTCATCCAAGTAGCTTCTTCTGACAGAGTTAAGTCCCTGTCTTATAACTGTCGGAAGGGAGGAGCTCTCTCTCTCTCTCTCTCACACTCAAACAAACACACCCTAAGAGTTTACAGTGAGGCTTATCTGTTATTAGGTAACTTAAGGAAAGAATGTCAAACTCATATTCACAGAGGCCAAATTAAAAACTGGGACTAAGTCATGGGCCAAACTAAATATTTACTGAAAAATTTCAACAATATCTGCATGTTTTCTCTTCTTTCGAGATATGTAATGTTAACCCTTTTCTTATTAAAATAAATGTTTAATCATAGTTTTGCTTAAACACTGAATCCAGAACAAGCAAAATATAAAATAATAACAAAATCTTAAATAAATAATGTCTCGATAGTCTTTCTGTAGCCGGTGGGCAGCTCTAATACATGTTTGATACGATCTCGCAGGTCAAATATAATTATATCGCAGGCCAAAAGCTACAGGACCAGAAATACAAATACAAAACAAACATGTATAAACAACTGGACAAAAAATGTTTAATTTAGAGCCTTAGCTGCAAAAATGCAAAATATCAAGTCTGTAATTAAACTAAAAATATCCTTATTGCCTCAAAACAAGAAAAAAGTGTAAAGGCCCAATGACTTTCCTGGTGTCAGTCATGGAAACAGCTCGTGTCAGGAAACAGAGCCACATCACTTCCTGCATTTCCATGGAGTTTATCACATTTGGATTTGGACATTTTGACTGAAAAAAACCTTTCAACTAAAAATAACAAGGGATGCGCAATTACGCAGACCAAGATGCATAATTTTCCATTTATTTGAGAAATAACTGCACTTAGAGCGGCTTTTTCAATTGTTACGAACACAGGCGCTCAGAGCATCGACCATCTTGACTCACTACACTCTTTGGCAAAGTTTGGGCCAATCAAAATGGATGAAGCGCATGAGTTTGGCGGAAAACAAAGCTCCTATTGGACACCTGGTTTCCCAACGTCATCACGCAGCATGTGACGTAGGATAATGCCGGAAATATGCTCAGAAAGGCACAACTGTCTAGCCTGATTCATCACCCGGTTTCACTTCAAGGAAACTGTTTGACCTCGCTCAACGGTAGGCGGGTACTTTTTTATTTAACCAATCGCTGCTATTTGGTCGTGATGTATGTAATACGCCACTAACGGGGCTAACCGGTATATTAAACTTTTCTCAAATCCTGTAGGAAGAAGGACAATAACGTCTTTCCCCTTGATAAAATTCACTAAACATTCTCTTTGTTCCGGCTTTAAATCCTCGATCTCGGGAATCGTTGACAACACTGAATATTTGTCTCTTCGCTGATTGGCTGGTGCTCGAACTCGCACTTTCGGGGACTTTTGCAAACCGTCTAGTGCAGGGGTGTCAAACTCATTTTGATCCGGGGGCCGTATCCAACCGACTTTGATCCCAAAGTGTCCGGATCAGAAAACTCATGTCATATAAACCCCAAAAATAACAATAAGTTCAAATATTTGTGCAGAGAAACACAAATCTATTACAGAAATCTTTTTGAATTGATGAACTCTTTCTTTTACAAAATATTATAATATTATGAACAACCTGAAACTTTAAGAAAAATGCAATTTCAACACAATGTTTTAACATGAACTTGTCTGTAAACAGGAATAAGTCAATTTTTGTTGTAAAATCCTGCACTCGGCTCCACTTTTCTCATGTTGGACATTTTTCTGATGAGGGTGTCAAGGTCAACAGTCAAAACGATCGTCCTTTAAGAGCGTTTGGAAAGAGACAAGTCTTCATTTGTGCTGCTCTGGTGGGAGGGGCCACGTACAGAGACACTGGAGACGCTGCTGTGATAAACACCACAGAAAATTAACAAGATTTTAATAAAAAATAGAATCAAAATATTTTAGTAGAAAATCAGCCGAGGGCCAGATTAAAGGTCTTGGAGGGCCGGATCTGGCCCCTGGGCCGCATGTTTGACACCTGTGGTCTAGTGTATTCCGATTCCTGACCTAGTCGCTGGAGAGAACTGTCAGCTATTCAAGGAAAAAAAGTAAATTTCTATCTTTTATAGTTGGAAAGTTATACACGGTTATGTAAAAAATGTCCTGTGGAAGGGTTAATTTAGGGCCTTAGCTAGAAAAGTGCAAAATATCAAGTCAGTAAGTAAACTATAATTGCCCTCAAAACAAAAAAAAAGTGCAACCTTAGATAACAGAATCGATCACACACACTTTCATTTCGCTGCAGCTGTTGCCTGGTCCTTATCGTTGGTTCCCACACTATATTAAACACTTGTGGAGCAGTTGTATTTACCTATAGTCTTTATGGCCCTTGTTATCTCTCGTAGTGGAGTTTTACGGCGGCTCTTATCTCCTCTAACAGTCAGCAGGTTCATTTGAGCGCCCGAGGAGTGAGAGGAGAGCGGCAGTAACAGCACTTAAAGAGCCCGTAGTAGTTCTGTGTATCTATTTTCTCATCTGTGTTATGATGTAGTTTCCTCTTCACAAAAAAACAAACCCACAGTTGTGTTTTGTTTCATTCGCACGTGTTTAACTCAGAGATCCTGCAAATCTAGGCCGAGTTCTTTGCTGAAACGGAAAACAATGGCGATACTGGTAATAGCGGACGTGCTCCACTGTGTTTTTAAACTACACACAGCTTCACTAGAATCATTGAGATCAGGGGGGTCAAACTCAAATTCACAGATGTCAAAATTAAAAACTGGGGCCAAACTAAATATTTACTGAACATTTTCAACAACACCTGCATGTTTTCTCTTCTTTCGAGATATTATATGTAATGTTAAACCTTTTCTTATAGATGCATCACGAATTTCGGACTTCTGGTCATGAAATTGAAATTGTGTCCTTTAAAGCTGCACCATCGCCTCTTCCATCAAACTTTTACACCTGAAACTATCACCAAACAAAAATTATAATAAAAAAAAAGCTTTGTTGAGATACGATACAGCACTTTTTCATTATTTTGCTAATTATTGCAGTATACAGGCATCAAGAATTTCAGACTTCCGGTCATAGCACAATGCACACTTAGAAGGATTTTCCGAAAAAGTGAACATCAAACCTCCATGTTTGTTTTCCCAGTGGGATGCGTCTATTGTCAAAGTCGATCTTTTCAAGTCTTTTGAACCATATCGCTTTTGTTTCTGGTTCTGATATTGTCATATTTTAGTTTTGGGATTCAGACATTGTAATTGTGTGGTTGTTGGATGTTCTAACGGCGGAAAACGGCTCGAGAAATTTGTTTGCACTCCATAAATGCAAAAGGGAATCAGATGTGTGTGACTGCAAATCTCTGTTCAAACTGTTTCTCTTCCCAACGGAATTGAAAAATAGTGAAAGTTGAAGGCGATGGGCAGGATTGATCCACAGGAAGGACCAAAAAGGAAACCTTTGACTGCCTAACTACAGATAAACTTCAACGTCTTTGGCTCTTATTTTGCTTCTTTTTCTTTTTTCTTTTTTTTTTTTTTTTGGACACTTGAAAGAAATTAAAATTTTGATTTGCCATTTTGGAGAGTTGTAAATGTATTAGCTTTCACAACGTTACCACATTTTTTTAAGACTTAGACCAGGGGTGTCAAATTCAAATTCACAGAGGGCCAAAATACCAAAATAAAAACTTTGTTGTGGTTGTCGTGGTTTGGCCATGGACCAAACTAAATATTGAATTAAAAATTTCAATAACATGCATGTTTTCTCTTCTTTCAAGATATGTAAAATTAAACCTTTTCTTATTCAAATACAGTAAATGTTTAATAATAG